ATTCATATAAAGTAAATATAGTTTTATTAGAAACTTATCCTTAACTTAACTTAACTTAACTTAACTTAACTTAACTTAACTTAACTTAACTTAACTTAACTTAACTTAACTTATCTATAACTTTATTAGAAACATCCTGACAAATCCCAAAATCTCTTTTTTCATTAATTGTTTATAGAATTTTAAAATAGTTTCATATTAATAAGAATATTTTCCGGTTGATTAAATAAATAAGAAAAGAATATATTTAATTGTTAGATCAACTATAACGTTTATGAAATATGTGACAGATAATCTTATCTGGAATGAATTATGCATGAGTTCAAAAACAATGACATTTCAAAAACAATGATCATAAATAATTGCCAGTACTAAATTTTCAGCTTCAGAGTTTCCCACATGTGTTAATGATATTGGCTGATTATATCCTAATAAGAATTATGAGTAATATCCAAACAATAAAACTATTGCTAAATTTTTTATCATGACTTTTCTATTTTATTTAGATCAAGATCAGAAAAATTGTTGAAAAGATATGCTAAATATATATATATATCTAATTGCAATAAATATTTAAATGAATACTATACAGACCTATTTAGCTTCGATTCATTGGTCCATGTGGATGACTACAAACTCCTTTCTACAATAATGCAATAAAAGTATTTCATTAACTAACATAAAATAGTAAATATTATAATGTATAATAAATAATGTTATATCGTTTATATAATATATTATGATAAAATATATATGATATATAACACATGATAAATAATATATAATACATATAACACATATGTATAAAAAATAATGATATATCGTTTATGTAATATATTATGATAAAATATATATAATATATAATACATGATAAATAATATATAATACATAATATATTATATATAATATGTAAAATGTAACATATAATAATAATATATAACGAATAATATTTAATATATAATATGTTATAAATAGAATGCGATTCTAAATGTAAGATTGTAATCATTAAGATCTCAGAATGTGTCTTCGTAAGTGGATGAATCTTGTTTCTCAATAGTTGCTCAAGTAATATAAGAAATAACGTGATTTCTTTCAAATATCTTTACATTAATTGCATAGCACTGTATTTTAGCAGTAGCTCTGAGATTTTGGATTGAAAATGTAACATAGTATTTTTACGTTCAAATTCTCTGAATATTAAAACTGAACCATTTTGTGTTTTTGGATGATACAGACTTTAGTATGATTTCTGAAACCTCACGTTATAAGAACTTATGGTGTTGTCATATTAATTAAACCTCTCTCAAGACGCATGCCAAAGTACGTTATTTTTGATAATTAATATTTTTCTTGAATTTCCATTGCTACATACTACATAACTACATATCTACTTTTCTGTAAACCATCCATTCCAATAACTTGATGCTTTCAAAGTGGAAGATTTGTAGATAGGAAATGCCAATTTTCTGTTTAAAGTCAATATAAAAAATCCACTCAAAATTGTAACCATATGAATAAATATTTTATAAAATATAATTCGAAAATTGTTCTAATATCCAAAACATAGTATATTTTTAATTGAAGTAGCATTAAATAAACCCCTTATACATCGTTGTCATAGCCTGAACCGTTAATTGTTTTCATATAACAATGACAATAATCTCGATTTAAGCCTAAACTCGTGTACTTTCGGGAATGTGTACGTACGGGTAACTTTTTACGGCTGAGCATATTAACAATATGTACGACGGTAGGAGAAAGTAAAATGCATAATCTACATAACTCTTATTAGAATTGTGTTAAATCTTACCTCAGTCTACCTTTCACTTGAACCGTTTTCCAAAAAAACAAAAAAAAACTCTCTCAGCACCCACTAAACACCCACCAGCTGCTCTCTGGCATGTAAACTACTCACATGCAGCAAGAGTTTTTCGCACTGACACATTTTAGTATCGCTACACGAAAATGGTGAGCATTTTATGTTTATTACAATTTAGTGTCATTCAAAACGTGAACAATGCGAAAATGGGACGTGCAGTGTAGTTTCTAACACTGTTGTTTTCAACCTATATATCTTTCATATTCGTGTTTTCAATTTCACTCTAAAACTTATTGGTAATCATGTGAATGGTAATATTAAAATAATCGGTTTGTGATACAACTTCGTCATCATAAAATATGGACTTATTATATCACTAGATCAAATACTACACCATACAATGGCTTTTTATGTTTTATCTATTTTTCAATAGTTACTTATTTTGTTCTAAGCAGGAGTTGTGATCTGACACTTGCAGTCCAAATAAATTACATACGGACTCGAAACAGCGTTGTATAATCAGCTAAATTTCATTAAATAAATTTTGTCCATGTCTTTTCTTTGCTATATTTAAATTTTGTCTTATTATATTTAACATAAACTATCTCTAAACTACAGCGAAAGGCAATCTGAGACTTTCCAAATTGGATCAGGAGTGGGGTCTGGAGGCAGGTTCTACGAAACTTAATACAATTATTTCGATTATCGTTTTTAAATCATTTGACTTTTAAATCAAGTCAAGAAGATCCGATGAGCCCACTTTCGTAACAGAGAAACGGTCTTCTAGATATTGGATCTGCTTCATCTGTAGTTTCGGGCAAAGATATAGAAAGTATTCTTCAGTATTAACTTCCTTTTCATCATTGCAATCCCTGCATTAAATCATTGGTTAAATGGTCCAATTCTACGCTAAGTGAAGTTGAATGAAAATAATAGGTTGGATTCTTCCTGAACTGAATTCATAATTTTCATTCAGGCGTTATTCTTTCTTTAGGTGCGTAATTAATATAATAATTTGCAACTTAGAAATCTGGAGCCGGGAGATTATACAAATTTTAGTGACATTCTGTCGGAAAACCACTCCTACCAGGTGTTAGAAATAAATAATTGTTATTAAATATGTATACAAATGATTTAAATCTGTAACATTATTGTTCTTAGAAAGAACAATGGAACTCTACGACCTGTAAGATATATTATGCTTTTCCTTATACGGTTTTAAATATAAGAAATAAACAAAATTTATTATAATTAAATTTATTGAATTTATTTAAATATTTTTAATAAAATAATGTATTATTTTGATGACTAAAAATTTTTAATAATAATTTTGTTTTTAAACGGACTCATTGGGCAATAGTTAAATAATTTAACTACAAATTATTATTGTTATAAATAGTTTAACTATAAATTATTATTATTATAAATAATTCAACTAAAAATAATTTTTTTTTGTTTTTTAAAAAATTTTATCTGAACCAATAATCCTACTATATTATATAGTCATATTTAGGGTGCTATAATGTTTTTACAGTGTAGCAAGAATTAAGTATAAATCACAAAGAAATAATTATACAACACATTAAAAATGGAATATGTACTATTATATAGAGAAAATAATTATACAATACATTGAAAATAATATATATATACATATGTATATATATATAGAGGAATGTTATATGTATCCTCTTCAGGATTTGTTGAAGATGTTTTTATACATATATAACACAGTGTTGCATTTTAGTTTCACAACTAAACCTGGCGTCACTAGGAATTTGTAGAACATAAATTATTTACAAGAAAAAGCATTTTTGTTGGTTATTTTCTTAGTGTAACACCTGTATATTTTCTAAATCCGGTTCGTGCTTTGATCAAATGCTATATAAAGTCAGTGTTGTTTTGGAGTCAAAATTTTCTGTATAAATCACGCTGTGTTTATGAACAGATATACGCATCTACAATTTGTTTTTTCTTGTATCTATGTATACTTGGTGCATATGTTAGTTCCATCACCTTTATATTTGACTTGATAAACCACATTGCGTTTATTCAAAGTCTCAATTTTAGATTTGGTGTATTTGGAGTATAGGGTCTTCATTGTGTTTTGTGTCCTATATATTATTTTATATTGTTGCTTATTATATATATCACAAGCAAACCATTTGATTCTAAAGTTGAGGGACTTATATATATTTATTAATATTAATAAATTTATTATATATATTTAATATATAAGAAGTTGATTATATTTGTTAACATAATTTATACCTTACTAAAATTAGTAGAAAAGAAGCAAAAATATTTTGCCTCTCAGTTAACTTAATATGTGCTTTGCCAAAGATTCTAGATGGTTTTTATCCTTAGGTTTTTAATAATACGGTATGGGCCTATAACTATAAGTAGATCCTCTTGGTATCGCCGGTATAACCTAACCTACCTTAATATGTGGAATGTACTGCTTATGTAGTACGATATATTTTAGTTAATCGAAGCTCCGCACCTAACATACCGAAAACAAGTGTAGCGCTCATTGAAGTGAGCAAACCTGATTCAATTTACAGATTGAACAGTTTTGAGTGCACAATGTCTCTTGCTCTTCGCATTGTTTCCCGCACAAAGTGTAGTGCTAAATTCTAAATAAATAAAATTGTACTAAAATGTGTGTACTAAAAAATTTGACTTTTCGTATTGCATACTTTTCGCCTGTGTCACTCATTGTTTTGACCGCCATTCATTTGATGAATTTACGAAAAAACGGTTGAATAAACTCCGAAAACAAAATATAATTAAAAAAAATTATAAATATTGGAAATATTAAAAATTACAAAAATTACAAAAATTACAAAAATTATAAAAATTATAAAAATTATAAAAATTATAAATAAATGTAGAGAAGTGTTTTTTTTTTGTTCTGCTTACAAGTGAATTCAGTGTTCCAATTAAATTTTTTTTTATTTTGTTATGTTGAGCTTTCCGTACCGTTTTTCGGTGCAGAACGTAAGTTGGTTCTGTTCACTTTTTACTCCCTGCTCTGCATGTGTTTACAGTGTCCGTATCTGGTGTTTCGGTTAGTGTTCGTCGTACTCGCGTACAAAATGTTAAAAATCAATATGAGCGCATTTGATGGAAATCAATTTATGAAATAAATAATAAAATTCGTTCGTTGTGATTTGAGAAACAAAAATCAAAATTTCTAAATGTTTGTGCAACGAAATTTACAATATTTTTGGTGTAGAAAAAGTAGTTGTCGCATTAAGTGTAACGCCTAAAAGTGTCAAACGTTTCCATCGGGAATTGTGGTGTTTAAAAAAATTATGGCCTCTTCGCTGTTGGCCCTGAGCGACTTAATCAATTTTCAATTGGAGCGCCTTAAACTAGATGAATTCAAGTACAAAGATGAGCTGCAATTGCTGCGACAATTGGTTGAACTGGACGCCATTTGGCAAATGCAGCCACTTCAACTCCAAAGGAAGCAGCAAATACAGCAACAAACAAATCAAAAATTCCATAAGCAACCATTCCAATATCAACAACAGCAACACCAACAACACATACATCAGCAACAACAGCAGCAGCAGCAGCAACAGCAACATCAGCAGCAGCAGCAGCAGCAACGCTCAAAAGGATTACAACAACATCAGCAACAACAACTACAGCAACATAAACAAAACCTACACCAGTGCCAGCAATATCAGCAAAAAGTGCCAACATCAATATCTGATGTGGAGCTCGGTGCAAGTGCTGCTTCTTTCACGACTGGACAACAATTTGGTGGCAGTCTTGGCGCTGGCATTAGTAGCATTACTTACGGTGTTAGTGGAAGCGAAAATACGGAAATTGAAATTGGTGCAGTGGGAGGCGCCGGTGTTACTAGCAGTCAAATATCACTCGCTTCAAGTGACCTACAAAAAGGATTCAAGTGAGCATATAACAAAACAACAGCAAAAAAAAAGCAAAAAAAAAAAAAAATTAAATGAAATAAAAACATATTTGGCATTTTAATTGCATTACCTCACAAAAAACCTCAAAAATATCAACAACAACAAATCTAACAAATAATAAAATCGAGTAATATTTCCGAGTGGAAAGGAGCAAAAATTTATGAAAATACCCATATAAGTTTATTTACATTCATAGTAATATAATTTACACGTAATGCATTTCAAAATAATTACAATTCAAAACAAAAGCCAGTAAAATAATTCCTCTCAAATTACATGTTACCAGCAATTCTAATGAATTCATATCTCGACCAGTACGAAACAATAAGGTCATGTGAATGTGGAAATTGGCATGCATAAATTTTTTATTAATATTTAACATTTCAAATTAATTAAAATTGATTTTTGTTGACCTCACCTCCTTTCTGTCTTTCTGTCTTTCAGTCTTTCAGTCTTTGTGTCTTGCTATTTTTGCTCACAATTCAAATATTCATGTAAGGACCCCAATCAGTTTTGTGTACACTTTCGCAAACAGTTCAAATGTCAATACTTGAGATTGTGCAAAATATTTAAGCCACTCAGATAAACACTAGAAACCACTTAACAAGAATTATTTCACTTTAAATGAAACCTATGCGAAACCTATTCCAATACGTTTCAATTATAACGTATTAAAGTATGCATTAAGAGTATACCCCTATGCAATGTATATAACATTTTGCAATAGTTTGACTTGATAGAAGACAATGCCGGCTCAACAGAATAATGAGAAAATCAAAGAAATTTATTGAAAAATAAAATAAAAAATAATTAAAGTTAAATAATACACTACAGAAAACAGATAAACCATCAATTTGTCATTACTGACACCAACATCTTCCACGAGTTCCAAGATATAGAATCGGTAATCTTGCCAAGCTAAATAAACCTTATAAGTATGATTTATAATTTATTTGATCTCTATGTAGTTAAACTTAACAATTAAAAATTGAAATTCAATCAAATTTCAACTACTAAGAACAAAATCTTTCATTAGTCACAATATCTAGAACCGGTACTATAACTAATCTAGTTAAATCTCGTAAATATGTTTTATAATCCAATGGATGCTTATGCAGTTACACTTAAACAATCGACAACAGAAAGTATGTAATCATTTAATTTGTTATGACTAATGACAACATCTTCCATAAGTTCGAACAACAAAAATCAGTAATTTTGCTATATTAGGTAAACCTAATAAACATAATTTATAATCTAATGTATGTCCATGTAGTTAAACTAAAACAATTAGCAATTAAAAGTTAATATTCAATTAAATTTACACTAATAAGAACAACATCTTTCATGAGTTCCAATATCTAGAATCAGTAATCAAGCTAAGCTACATTAAACATTGTAAGATGTATCAGATATAAGCGTTATATATATGGCTTATAATGAAATGAATGTCTATGTAGATACACTTAAACAGTACCATAAATAATAGAAAGTAGATATGCAATAAATTAATAATTACTGATATCAATATCTTCCGTAAATTCTAGAATCAGTAATCTTGCTATGCTAGGTCAACCTTATAAATATGATTTATAATTTAGTTGATATGCATACTATAGTTAGACTGAAATCACTTACAAAGCCATTAACAACACAAAATAGATATTGTTAATTTGTCACAACTAATTACAATATCTTTTAAGAGGTCAAACACCTTTAATCAGTTATATTCTCTTAACCGACATTACATCTTGTAAGTGGTACATCTTATATTTACTTTATCTATATAATTACACTAAAGGAAATGTTAAAAATTTGTACTTATAAATATATAATATTCTCTATGATGATGTTTCGAATTAGTATCGCCTTCAATTATTGAAGAACTTTATATATGGGTACTATTACACAAACGAAAGAACAATCATATAAGTTAACAAAGGAACTTAATTAAAAGTATCACGATAAAGGCCTGTAATATTTTGTATCACAAAAACGATTACAATCTATTGATAAATAATATATTATTTCCTTGCACTGATAATGTAAAAACTGATTTTTGAATTGAATATCAATTTAAACTTATCGTATTTGTCGCACTATAATGCAGTTAACAATAACGAATATCAAAACCTCATTATTTCTAGAGTGTTCTGACTCTTCAAACCATGATTTTCAAATGCCTTTCAAATACTGCAATACTCAAATACTACTTATTTTGGATGGTCTAATCATATGACTGAGAACTGTAAGGTTTATATAATATATATACGCCATAAGCTAGAGAGAATAAATTGGAACCAACTTATTTATGGTTTACGTTTTGGATTTAAGGTTTTGCGTTTTTTGATTGGATAATTAATTATATTTAAAAATAAACAAGAAGCTAAAGCTGTGGATATATATATAAATAAATAAATATATATATATATATATATATAATATATATATATAATATATTATATATATATATATATATATTATTATATATATATATTCTCATATATGTGTATATTTATGTAATGTTCTTAGTTTTAGATCCCAGACCTCATTCGCTTCAATAAAAACCGTATGTAGGTGTTAGACTCGTTTTCTGGTAATCGCAAGGTAACCTCAGAAAGTTGGGCGGGAGTGCAAGTTTTGATCGTTAGGTGCGTTTTATCTTTACTTACATGACACCGGTTAATGCTCTTTATCTATCTCATTGTCTATATTATTTTCAATTCTTGGATCACTAATAACTTTTACTTTGTAAATAAGCTATTCGTCTAAGCAACAAATTGTAGTAATCAGTAAAACATACCGAAAGACATCAATTTAAATAAAGCCCGATAAGTAATCATCCATAAATAAACAGAAGTGATAACCATAACTTAATCAAATTGTACTGTACTAATAACTATTTTTTACCTTTTATTTACTACGGGGTCTTAAGGGAAATAGGCTTACTTTTGCATAAGTTTCCGTACTTTAACATAAATATATTGTTTATGTGAGTACTTAGTATCTGATCGTTAAACATTTCTTTTGGTTCCCTTAAATTAGCTTTCTTTGTTATTAGTTCTTTCAAAAACCAGGTAATGACTATGATAGAAAAAGGATACATAATTTTAAATATTAACCATTAAAAACAATGCGCATGCAGTCCTTGACGAAGGTATATAAACACAGAAACTGATTGATAAATTCGACATCGTCTTCATTAAGGCGACTTCTGCATAGTCCACTCATTGGATTGCACCACCTTTAATATATCGACACAAAAGCACATGCTTTCGTTACTACTCTAGTAGGCAGACGACCTGCAAATTTACTAAAACTTAAAAACTGATATAATTCTATACAAAAAAAACAACGTCAGTAACATATATCTCTAATAGGTATCGTCAAGAACTCAGAGTTTAATATCGATCAGTTTAACATACCTAACCAAATATGAACCGTTTCCAATTAAATATATGTGGTATATGCTTATTACATATGCGAAGTCACCAAGCGTAACTTATGTAGTTAATTATTAGTAGTGATCGATTAAGAAATAGTAAGTCCACATAATATATTTATTTACTTACCTAAAACGTGTTGAAAATCACATAACATATATCATATGTATGATATATTAATTGTTTTGTCTATTGCAATACTATGAGCTCTCTTCAATATTTTATCATATCATTTAAAAATTCCCAAAAACATGCTAACAGACAACGTCACTATAAAAAATACATAAGATTTTCAAAAAGTTGTGACTTTTTTTAGTGGTTTAAGTGATATATCTTTGACTTTTGCAAAAATTTGAAAGAAAAATAGTTCCGCATTTTGATTAAACATTTTTTTCTGAAGGCAAATACTGTAATGACTTCAAAATTGTTATAAGGTCTCGAGTATTTAACTGCAATTATCTGAGCCTAAACTTAGCCGTACACACACACAAAGACTTTTATCTATCATATTCTCTAGTTTTGTCGATGAAATACTATTACCTCATCGTCGGTTTCTGAAAGTTGCTCTAGGGAACCAGTGGAATGAGAGAACTTATCTAAATGACTAAAATTGAATCGTGAAAGAAAAATGCTGTATTTTAATAAATAATCTCGACAATTATAATCTATAAATAAATAATCTAGACACATAACCAGGATAAAGACCGAAATTTTTATTTTTGTAGTAAAATTCAGTATTAAATCTGAATAAAGTATAAAAAGTGAAAATTCTGGGTACATATTTGGGAAATTTTTTTTCTTGAAACTTAATGGTTAATATTAGTACTTACATATAAACAATCTTAATTGTTGAAACAATTTCAAAGAAGTTAAATCAATTAACTTTAAAATACAACAAATTTTATTCATTTATAGAGCCTGAGATACGGCTGTTTAAAAATGTATCTACATATCTTCTAGGAAAAAAAATTTAATAATTTCAAAATTGACAAACTTGACTCATGTAAACTTGTCCGATATGTAAATGAATGACCCATATGCAGTCTTACAATATTACCTGTATTATTTTTTATACGGAATAAAAGATTAAATAGTTTTGCTAAAACTGGCATTGGTTGCATTATTATATTTTTTTCTCATTACTGTTGTAAAGTATAGCTGCTTTCATGCTCTAGTATGAATGTCGGTAAATATCAAGTTAACAGAAGTAAATTTCGCTCAATGTTATATATTAAGAAATGAAGTAAGTTTATGAAATCATACATAATGTATGACAGTTGAATATATTCCTAAAACAAATATTTTATAAACGTATAGAATACTCCTTTCCACTATTATGTGTCCAATATATGATTTTATTATTCGTTATTAATTATTATTGTAAATATAAACCTAAATTTTACATAAAATGATTAACTAATAAGGAATAACATATTAACTCAGATACTGAATATTTATAATACTGAATAATTACTGAATAATTAAATACAATTAAGTAACTAAAACTGTTTTGGAATAATTTATTTGTTAATTAGAGCCCACGTCCTTGAATGGTTTCAACAGTTGCGACAACAAACATCTAATTTCAAAAAGGATGAGGAGTCCAGACGCTTACGAGAGTCCGGTAACGATTCCTATCGAAGGGAACGCCATGCACTTAAGGCTTGTGATTTTTATACGGAAGCTCTATTTCGAGCGACTTTGGATAATAGCATTACAATCGCAATGGCTCATGCAAATCGCTCGACTGTATTGCATGATGTGGGCTTGTATGAGGTATATATTTATTTTGCCGTAGTCATATTGTTAGTTCTGGCCAAACACTTATTTGGCCATGAGTTGGTGGTTAACATGCTACATTATTGGTATTACAAGTTGTTAAAATGTTGCATGTACTCTTGTACTCTTGGCAAGAGTATTAATTAATATTATATTGTATTCATATTTTCTGTTTTTTGCTTTAACTTCTTTTTCACATTCATAATCTTATATTCTTAAGTTCTTCTGTAAATAGTAATTATTATTATTATGTTTCTATATATTCTTTCCATTCTTTATTATTTTTATTTTTAATATGTCAATAAACTTAAATAATAACTTTGTAATTTATGCAGCAATCGTATGATGACTGCCTTTGCGCTTTGGATTTCGGTTATCCGGAGGAATTTTATCCTTTGATTAAACTACGTCAAGCCTCTTGTGCCTTAAAAATGCGTAATTTTAATCTATGCGAGGAACATTTACACGAACTCCTTCATATGAAACTTTCTGAATCTTTTGAGAAACGTACTTATGAGATTTGGCACGAATGCGAAATTTTAAAAGCGGAAAAAATCGAAATGGGAGTACAAACAGGAGACGATCTACAAAGGAATATAGACAAAGTGTACGAAGTGTAAGTACAAATATAATATAAAAATTACATATGTTTTCACTTTCTTTTTTTGTTTATATATATATTTATTGAGATTATATATTGAATCTCTCTGTGACTGTCCAGCTTTGATCTGGGCCAGGAGGTGGTCACTGGGTCGAGAACTACTCCCCCCTTCTGACATTAGGAAGTCCTCAACAGCTGCCATTTTGACTTTCATTCGAAACGCGGAATGTCTTCTATTCGGTTAGGGTCTGTAGCAGGACAAAAGATTAATTATGGTCGTGGTGCTCCGCTTCTTTGAGAGCTGGTACCCTGTTTATTTCTATTTCATTCTATTCATCCATTGAGTCCCCTCTCTTAAGTATATAAATCTTAAAAGTACTTATAGTTATATTACAAACTTAAGCTCTATTATATCTTATAAGTTAAGAACTATAAGAACTATAGTTAAGAACTATAAGTAATTTTTATGCCACGACCTTCAACTTAACTTAGTTAGGCTGATAAGTAAAGATAATGACGTGGTCGGTGAATAAATAATAAACTGATTTTATTTTCTAACATCGAAGAAAGGTAAAAATTAAAAAAAGAACAAAATGCATAAATGAATAAAACATAATAAGTCAAAGTAAATATAGTTTTGTGTTATTTTTGAGAGATCCATTCCTTTGAGGCGTAAGTGTCTAGTTATAAAAGCGAGCCTTCTGTGTTAAAGAGTTAACGTGGTTATTCAAAAGTCAAGATTAGAAAGAAAGATAAAGTGCATTAATGAATAAAACATAATAAATTAAAGTAAACATAGTTTTGTGTTATTTTTGAGAGATCCGTTCCTTTGAGGTGTAAGTGTCTAGTTATAAAAGCGAGCCTTCTGTGTTAAAGGGTTAACGTGGGTATTCAAAAGTCAAGATTAGAAAGAGAGACAAGGAGCATTAAGCAATAAAACATATTAAGTCAAAGTAAACGTAGTTTTGTTTTATTTCTGAGAGGTCCATTCCTTTGAGGTGTGAATGTCTAGTTATAAAAACGAGCCTTCTGGATTAAAGGGTTAACGTGGGTATTCAAAAGTCAAGATTAGAAAGAGAGACAAGGAGCATTAAGCAATAAAACATAATAAGTCAAAGTAAACGTAGTTTTGTTTTATTTCTGAGAGGTCCATTCCTTTGAGGTGTGAATGTCTAGTTATAAAAACGAGCCTTCTGGATTAAAGGGTTAACGTGGGTATTCAAAAGTCAAGATTAGAAAGAGAGACAAGGAGCATTAAGCAATAAAACATAATAAGTCAAAGTAAACGTAGTTTTGTTTTATTTCTGAGAGGTCCATTCCTTTGAGGTGTGAATGTCTAGTTATAAAAACGAGCCTTCTGGATTAAAGGGTTAACGTGGGTATTCAAAAGTCAAGATTAGCAAGAAAGATAAAGTGCATTAATGAATAAAACATAATAAATCAAAGTATACATAGTTTTGTGTTATTTTCGAGAGATCCGTTCCTTTGAGGTGTGAGTGTCTAGTTATAAAAACAAGTCTTCTGTATTAAAGGGTTAACGTGGGTATTCAAAAGTCAAGATTAGAAAGAGAGAGCATTAATGAATAAAACATAATAAATCGAAGTAAACATAGTTTTGTATTATTTCTGAAAGATCCGTTCCTCTGAAGGGTATCAACGCATTTTTGTTTAATTATTTTTTAATTCTGATTTTACTAGAGATATACGAAGATTTTTGGCTAAAATGTTTTTGATTAACCTTACTCCAAATAAAAAAATAAAAATAGTCTAGTGCATATACAACCTTTATTTATTTTAAAACAAATATTATATTTACAAATAATCATTCTGTATCAATATTACACTGAACAAAGTGATTTGAACTGCAATATTGAATACTTGTCGTTTGTTTATGTTGAATATACCAAAGGTTCTAATTGTTGCGTTAAGACAAGTGAGTTGCAAAACGAATGATTCACACTGAAATAAAACCATATGATAATGATAGTCTTTATATAAAAAAAATTAATCCACACTTACCGACATCAAAAACCCAACATCGGTATTTCTGGGAAACTCCGTGCATTGATTAAAAATTTCCATGGTTTCATTGCATGTATCAGTAATGAACTGGCACATATTGTTTTGAATATATACATTAAAAAAATATAATGCAAGGAAAAGACTCATAAAATATTTTAAGATACTGATTGTCTCCAGTTTTTCATTGTAGATCAGATAAATATGATATATATTTATTGCAAAAGCAAAAAAAAATGAAAATGTTGTGTGAAGCGTTTCAAATCTATGAAGATAGACCACACGTTGTAACAAATTATAGAACTCCTTATATGCGATTGAAAGATCATGCAATTCGGTCGATAGTTTGAAGTAGTTTACATTTCGGTTTGTAAGCACTTTTTCCATTATTGACTTAACATGAAAATTAATAGATTCAAAATTAGCCAAAATATACCATAGCATTTGACTGAGATGATATATGGATGCATCATATATATTAAAAAAATTCAAGCGGCAAAATACATTTAATATTTGCATAAATCCAAGGACTGTTGAAACTTTCAAACAAAATAAAAAAGTGGACACTGCATGTATACCCACGAGGATGAATTTTACATACGAAAGCCAACATATCATTTCCCGACGAGCAGAATATGGTTCTAATGTGCGAAGAAAGCGGAAATTCAATATAAATAGTGCTTTAAAGATTTCTGTTATGAAACGGTCTCGATAAAATTTACGTAAAGTCAATAGAACCACAGATATAAACATGAATATATTAGTACCAGCATAAATCTTTTCTGCCAATTCAGTCAAACTCATGACTTTCTCGTGGTGCTCCTCGAAAAACACATAGTATACCAATAGATTGATGTATGCTGTGGCGAAAATTAGACCATATATTCTGATGTATTTGTCATTGCGTATGAGTTGCTCTTTCAGATCGATTTTAATAGTACACAAACCGGACAGTAAAATATAATAAATTCTTGCGAAGTTAAATAAATTTAAATTAAAGTTTTCCATGTCTGAATTGAGTGAAGTATATTCTGATACTGTTAAGGAAGTCTTACTCATAATAAAACTACTTTTAGAAATTAATTCATAACAGCTTTTCAGTTATCTTCAATCAAAATAGTTTCTTCGTCTGAAAGTAATCATATATTTAAGATATCGATTCATATGTGTGCCTGTTTAATGAACCAGCGTTCAGTCTATCATATTATGTCTAACTTTGAAGAGTTTTTAATGTACTTAAGGAATTAATATACATTATAGCAAAAACCATTATAAAACCATTTCTATGTAGTTCCATAGCAAAAAATGTACAAGGAGCTCTTAAAGTTTTAGGAGTACATACGTATGTATAAAATTCCTCACCTGTTTTAAAATTGTATGTTAAAAATAGACCTTATCAGGATTGATCCCTAATGCATTTAAATGTATACCAAAGTAAACAAAGACTTTAAATAGGAATTGTGTGCTAAGATCATCTCTCTATTGCCTTTAATTCAATTAATTTAATTTCTTATTATCGCTTAAATTAAATTGATTAATTTTAATTTGTGTAAAATTTACAGAGCCTGGCTTGATAACACCAATGTAATAACCACCAATAAGGGCGCCTTTTTACGCGCCACTGCAAACATTTCCACCAACACACCGGTTTTCCAAGAGGATGCAATTGTTTTTGTGAGTAATGATGAGGCACGCGTATGCGATAATTGTGCAATAACGCAATTTGTACCATTCCCCTGCGTCTTCTGCACTAATCGTTCAGCAGTTTATTGCTCTCGTAAATGTCGCTTTGAGCACGCTTCCATACACTCCGTCGAATGCTTTGCTCATCAAATAGAGCTATTCGAAGAGTTTAGTGAGGAATTTTCGAATCCACGCCTGCTACAGCTTGCCCTGCGTATGCTTATAACAGGACTACCGCAAGTGCTACCACATTGTCGCAAAAAACCGACCGTAAATAAAATGTGGTCTGCGTTTAATGGTATCCTGAAAGAGCGTACCGATATACCATACTCCGCAATGTTACACCTAGATGCGTACGCTGATCAGGAGGATGCAGAAAGTCTGATCACATTCGCTATAATGGCGCATATAATGGCAATATACCTAAATGAGTGTACAGATTTTTTTGAATTTCTGGAGCACGCCTTGCCGGTAACAGCGAAATTAACAAACAACGAATGGGAACTACTCTCAGCTGCTTTGCTGATGCGTCACATATGCCAGTTGCGTCATAAAAGTCTCATACACTGCCCGTCCTTCGTGTTGCCTACCGATCCGCATGTCATTGCACCAGTCAATGAATTTCATGTGTGGGCAAAAATCAAACACGTACGCGAAGGTCAACTGCATTTGCTTGCCGGCAATATGGCTAATGTGGTGCTAGCCGTCTTTCCTCAGAAATTAAGCCTATGCCGGCAATCTTGCGTCGATACTATATACTGTAAATTTTCGGGCCGAACAATAACAGCATACACTACATGCGATCTAAGTGCAGGAACTATGATTTCAAATTGTTTCGCCAGCACCAACTATCGACAATCGTTGTACGAAACACGAAAGCTGGAACTGAACGCTAAAGGCATCGAATGCAAATGCGAAAAGTGCTTTCGTCCAAATCCCGATGAGGATTTTGTAAGTATAACTCATAATTACTAAATATACATTCCCTTCCACTCGACTCCACAAACTCCAATCCAACTTCAGTGCCGTTGCTACGCTGAAAAAACCAATGCAGTTGGTTCACTTAAAATGCAGTTTAGAAAAACCTCATTTCGCTTCCAAAAATTCGTCATGAAAACATAGTACTCGCATGGATCTCTGTACTGGTTTTTTCAATGGAGTAATCGGTACTTAAAACTTTTGATGTGATGTTTTTCTGTGAGTGTGTAAATTTTGTATTAAAACTAAAGAATGCGTAGTTTTTGTATGAAAATATTGTACTTTAGTTTGTTTCCTTTTTATTTAAGAATATTGGCTGAGTTAGAAAAGCCACAATATTTAACTCCTAATCATTTAATAAATATATATAATATATTAAAGTTTATTTAAATATGTGTGCATTCCCATATGTGAAGTTATATATTGTTATATATGTTGTTATAGTTAATAATATCTTGTGTTTTCTAATCAAATTAGTGCGAATGATCTGCTGCTTTGTATGTGTAACTCTAAAGTAAATATTTTAATGTACTTTCTTTATAATTTCAATAATGCTTTTTATTTTTTATGTTTAATAAGTTTTATAGAATGACCAAAATAAATTAATTAAAATATACACCAAATGACTTATGACAACTACTGGAGTTTACAAATTTCTAACAACTCAAAGTAAACTGGATCGTGGTATATTACAGTGTCTGTTTGCCTTTGGATTATATATATATATACGCTGCTCCCAAAAAACCACATTAATTTTTTATATATATATTATTAATATTTTCTTTAAAAAATGACTATTATATTGTGAAAGTATTTAAAATGTCAAATACTTCTCATATTCATTCCTCTATCTTCATACAGACTTAAACACAGTGGAATGTTCTTCTTCAAAAACCCAACAATCGAGTTGAAAGCTATAAGTTCTGCACTTTAAACCTTAAATAATATTCTTAATGACCTAAAACACTATTTCTAGATGCGATTCACTCAGGCTATACAAAAAATTCAAAACTCCTTTCATTGAATTTATTTATTTTTTCTTCTTTTTTTTCTCTATTTCTCTGGTAATATATTTAGTACACATAGTTTCAGAAATTACTGAATTAAATACAAAAAATATTTAATTATCAATTAAAATTTAGTTTACTGCTTTGAAAACCTATCACCACATCGAGTGCAATACAACCCAACCAGCTAAAGTTTGACCCAATCAGATTTTCGTAGACTAATTTTGATATGGTATTCAATTCTTTCCGAGATTTTTATTTTATGCTCGCAATAGGTTCAATATAACTTCCTCGAAATGGTGATGTTGACGTCAGAAACAAAAAAAATTCACGGGGCCTTGTCAGGTGCCCCGTACATGGTCTATCATAATCCTAGGATTCGTGAATACATAGTCTATTATATTCGTTGAGTTCTTCCAAAAAATTTTATGAGAAGTTTTTTAAAGAATTTAAAAAGGGGTATATATTTCAAATGCTTTTATGGTATACAGATAGTATACATTTGGTAATTTTACTTTTACATATCTCCTTTCTAATTTTCAAAAAAAAATCATGTTTATAAAAAAGAAAAATAAAATCTACTTCTTAAAGCCGATATCCACTCCATGTGTTTTTAAACTTGTGAACTCCGAATACTTTGTATACACTGAATGTAGTCAATGAAATTATAGAACACTATAGATTTCAAGTTAACTAGATAGTTAATTGCTCAAAGACCTAATCCGAGTTGTTTTACTAAAACCACTAAGGTGATTTTATCACTTGAACTATTACAATATAGTGCAGCTTTGAAACTATTCCATTATCCTTAAATCTTAGAGTAGGAGAAATTTTAAACATCTTTTATATTGCTTTTATTATAAAAATTCTTATAGAATTGAAAGAACATTATGAATACCTAGATAGATAGGTAGGTTGGTTGAAAGGTTGCCCTCAAGATTATGTGTAGCATCTTTCCGGATCCTAAGTGATTTTAGTTAGAGATAGTAAAAGATAAGTAACTTTTACTGAGCACTTTATATGTAACGTGTGAACGCATACTTGCAAATGCGGTCCCAAAGCTAGATTGTATCAACACCATTATATCCATTATCACCCATTATCCTTGTTTTCTGTATAGGTAATAGAAATTTGTTACTTTCTTTGGAAATTATAGAAACATCATTTTGTCCTGTTGTTACTATTTCTTCTAAATTCTGTTATTGAATTATATCAAATTTTTTCAAAATCGTTCATATCTATACCGGATATGCACATAATATATATATCGAATAAATCAAATTTGGATCAAAGAGTGGTTGTAAGACTTAAGTACCAACATCAGAGATTATTAACTGATTATTCAATATTGTTAGATGGCTGGTCCATAAATTTAATATAGCTTGACATCGTAAAGGCACAGAATTTTTTAATAGATTAAAGTGTACTCAACAACAACCAAACAGAAATTTATCATTCAAACTAAGAATTTCTTATTTCCTGGACTTTGTGAGTTGACAACAGTTTTTAGTAAATTAACATATTCTGAGTAACTTTATCTAATACGAGTAGTTATGCCCTATATCTTACAATGTGACTTAACCATATTCAGGAAGCGAATGTTACTTTGGTGTCTTCTGAGAAATTCAATAATATCCTATTCTCATTAATAATAAAGAAAATGGAATATCGAAGCACAATAATTATAATACTCATTTCCTATATAAATGTAGAATTTATTTAAGAATGATAGCAGGTTGTTTAAAGTTGTGATAAGTGTTAATATGAAATATGAAAGATAATATGTAATAATTGATAACTGAAATTTAAGATCTATTATTGTTTGATGTATCCTTATGTGATGATACATAATTTTGAAAAAGAGCCCCTCTCTTGATGATACATAATTTTGTACAAGAGTCCCTCAAAACTTTTTCGATTTCGGTCATGTTATACAGACAATCACTCAAAATTTGAAATTGTTATTTTCAATATTTCGATCACGATGACGAGACTTTCTATGCCGTCTTATGTTGGTCAAAATAAAAATTGTTCAGTGATATATATTATAATTTGTGCCAAAAAGGTGCACATATAAATATTTATGTATATATTTGAGTATTTAAGCATACGTATATTTACACAAATATAATTACCTTTTAAACTAACGCTAAAAAAAAATGTGCCATGCGCTTTGGACATCTCTAAAAAGAGCGTAGAATTGATTCGAGACCATTTATCATATCATTTAACTTTCCGTAGAATAGGGCTCCTAGACATTCGCATTAACCTTGCACAATCGTTCCTGCGGTTCAAAAAAAGTAAAATACTTAGAACGATAATCGACGAGCCCAGTGTTTTGATGAGCGTCTGTATAATAGGACTCTTAGACAATCGCATTTAACCTTGCACAATCATCTCCACGGTTTTAACAAAAAAAAAAAATACTTAGAACGACAATAGACAAATTGAGTACAGCAGAAACTTTTTGAACTAAATTAATAGGTAGCATATAAAGATCCTAAATGGTTTTTAAGAAATAACACAAGCAATCCTCTTTTATTCCATTGTTTCTTCTTAATTTGTGCTATTAGCTTAGGTAACTGGTTTACTAAGTTCAAAACAAGAATCAAACTTTCTTGTGAAAAACAATAAAAAAGGGGTTTGATCTAGGGGTTTGAAATTTTTTCAATCCAAATCGATTGCATAGAATGAAAAGTAATATAATGGTCTCCCTCTCTATCTTTACCTCTCTCTCTCTCCCTCTCTCTCTCCCTCACTCTCTCTCCCTCTCTCTCTCCCTCTCTCTCTCCCTCTCTCTCTCTCCCTCTCTCTCTCTCTCTCTCTCTCTCTCTCTCCCTCTCTCTCTCTCTCCTCTCTCTCTCTCTCTCTCTCTCTCTCTCCTCTCTCTCTCCCTCTCTCTCTCCTCCCTCTCTCTCTCTCCCTCTCTCTCCCTCTCTCTCTCTCCCTCTTTCTCTCTCTCTCTTTCTCGCTCTTGATTAGTAATAAACTATTCGTCTCAAATATGACTTTCCTTCATCAATATAACTGCATTTCAGAGAGTATATCAAAGAAAACTCAAGACCTCTATAATAAACTGATTAATTTTACTAAGATTTTTAAAATAATTCTTTTTAGATAATTTTGCAATATTTTGTTAATTAAAACAGATTCATTTTTTTTTTTTTTTAAAAAAGATAATGTATAATTTTTTAATGAATATGTTTTTGGTTTTGTACTTCATTCGTTGGTATCGGTTAGTACGAAAATTGTTGATTATTTTTTATGTATGGAAACAATTTTCAGCATAAATTTCATCGCTATCGCTGTGATAATCAAAATTGTAAGCAAATATTCACACCACCATACTTGAAACGCACCCGAAATTTAAAATGGTGGAATTCCGATTATTATACGTGCCCCGAAAATAACGGCTCCGAGTTATTGGTGTGTAGCGTTTGCGATGAAACCCAGAAATTGGAATGGTTTTGGGCCTTTAACGCTGCACTGGTTGACTGTGATTCTATCGAAGAACGATGTAAATTATACGCGGCTATCGAACAAGCCGAAAACCATCTCATTGAGATGCACGAGATGAAAGTGGCGCTTGCCAGGCAATTAGTACAGAACTGCCTGCTCGTGCATAGAGGTATGTGATCAAGTAAACTAAACTACAGAATTTTATTAAAATCAGAATTTAAATAAAATTGCAGAAAAGTATTTACAATTGAAATCAATAGCACGCGTTTTATTTTTCCTAGTTAAAAGCTAATATGTAAAATAGTATATATTTATATTAAAAAAAAAAAAAATTTTAATGAACGCTTCGTAAATTGTTACTGTTTTGTATATAGTTTATAATTAAAATGGTATTAATTATTTTCGTTATTGATTTGATTTTAGTAAATTGTAAAGACGAAAGATTTCAGTTCAAAAATTTCTAGTAAAATTTGATATTTTTGTTAAAACTTCAACTAGTCACTAGATTTTTTTGTATATATAGGTCTTTTATATACATACAACTATTCCTTTTGCTCACCATACTATATAAACACCCTTATAATTTTTGTACCTACATCTAATATAATTTTTTTCAAGAAAAAGGTTCCACACTAGTTATTTTAATCAAATATTTTATAAATAGTTTCATTAAATATGTATCTCTATTAGAACACGAATAAAATCGTTATTACTTAGGCAGGTCACCAGAATACTTTCATCAATAATCATAATTATCGATTACCTACCATATAAAAATTATTGACAGACACCACTACTTACTAGTCTAGCTAAACATAGCAAGTAAGGACACAAATGAATAAAGATTTTGACTACATTGAAATACTGGTTACTCGTGCACATAGTTATTCGTTACTTGTAAATATTAGCATAATTCTATCTAATGCACATTAGTAAATACTAGTGCTTTAAATATTACTCAAACCGTTCCAAGCTTCGAGCAATTCGATATTCGAGTTCAAACATTTAGCTCAGTGAGTTGTTGGTAAATGTTCGAACATGATTGATGTTCGAACATTGAGCAAAAAAGTGGTTCGAAATGCTCGAATATTTTTAGGCAGCTTCAATATTTAAAATATATTTGAACTGCCTCAGCATCGTGATGCTCGAACACTTTGAAGCACTAGTAGGCACAGTTTTCATCTTAACTTAAATAGTTGCGGCTATAATATATTTGTAGTTTAATTTGAATAAAAATTTTTTACTAATATCCTACAAATACAAATGTACATAAATATTTATTAATAACGATATCTAAGTTTATACTAATTGCATATTTATATTAATGACACATTTATTATTTTAATAAACTAAATAAATTTGCAACAATAAGTGTCATTTTTCTTATAAAATTCATATAATATATAATCAAAAAATCTGCTAATGAGGTTCGATAATTATAACTGTAAATATAGTATAAGTTCATTATAAAAAAGATAATATGAGACATTATATAACAAAAAATTCATATAAATGCAATAGCATCATGTCTAACATAACTATTATTATTAATTTATAGATATACATATTCCAACCCGATCAATGAATAATTAACATTTTAAAATACACTAGAGAAGTTTTTCTGATAATCGAATCTTTCGAAAATAGTTTGAAGAAGTTTATAACTCAAGCACTAATTGTCAAAGAAATATTTTCTTCAAAATGCATATGACACTATAGCCTAGTTCGATTCGTAAATCTGGGGTAACTTTTTTAATCGAGATTCACTTTTAATGCAATTTTCATTTTTGATTGGTAAATCTCGAGCAAAATGTACCATATAACACTCGAGATTTATTTATTTATAACACTCTAGATATTTTGCCAGAGTAACAAGATTACCCTAAAATTAACAGCTGTTTTATATGACTTAACAATAAGAGTGTGGTTTATTTCGACATATATATTTATAAAAAAATATAAATGTCTACTAACACAACTACAAAAATGTTAGATTACTCTATAATTGTTCGATTAGGCAATAAAGTTTGACATATCGAGAGTAAATCTAAATTGCAACCAGATTTACCAATTGAAAATGCTATATATAATATATGTATATATACGAGTATCTCCGAAAAATTAGTTTAAAATTTAAGCATGAGTTTTCCATGAGTTCCGAATTTTTATACACAAGATAAAATATTAGATAATACGTAAGAATTAATAAATAAATAATAGTAAATAATAAAATATTTTATAGTGTATATATATATATTACTTACAATCAATTACTTCTTCTATCAACTCAATCAACTTAATTTTTTGTGGCACACTTCACTTAAGGTTTTTAAAAAGTTTTTATACACATCGTAGAAGTATAGATTCTATAGGTCACAGTGTACAGTTAATTTTGTTAAGAAAGGCCTGTGAGCAAAAACAAACTACCAATTTTACAATGTGTTTTGTTTTTGCATTATTGTCTTTCTGTAATAAGGTCTACTAACATATAACTTTATCCTTTCTAATAATAATATACAAAGCCTATCAAAAAAGAAAAATGGCATTTGCAATATTAACTAAATATACAAATAGAGTGAAACCCCATATTTAACGAAAACCCGTGTTCTGTAAACAATTTCTCTAAATCCAAAATTTTTATAGACATGATCAAATCATATAATGATAATTACATAAAAAATTATAATACCATATATATAATTCAATCTAATATTAGCATATTCATTTCATTATCATAATGAGAATCTTGTTTTATCTCATTTTAATTATATTTCCGAAATACCTAAATTATACACTTAATTCTCTGATAGAGCGCAACATTTACTAGTAATAGAACTTATGGTAACTAGTATATTTTCTTCCTTTTAAGAATAGGGATTTTGAATTGAAGTAAAGTAGCTTGATTGTTTGATTACCGAAGAAAACTAATAGTTTTTATAACACTGCTAGTAAAATACACGCTTCAACTTTTAGATGCTATTATTTCAAAATATTGTTATATAATTGATTTCTATTTTTTAATTTTACTCTTTATCTCTTTTCACGCGCTCGTTTCTCTGGACTTCTATCTAAAACGCTATCCATACCTCTGGATACCTCTTAATTATTCTATTCTCCAAATTTTTTTTTCTACAAATTCTTTGTTTCGTTCTGTCTATGGCTCTTTTCTAGAAACCTCTAAACCACTCGACGAATGGGAATTTAACAAACTTGGCTCCACGATGAGAAGTGCGCTCAACATCGTCGCTGCACAGTACAACGCCTATAGCCTCGAGTATGTACAGCATATGTCCTATTTCTGGGACGTTATGGCATTGAGCACTTATAAATGCAGTGATAAGGAACTAATGCAAATGCTAAATGCACTCGAATATATACCAGATGAATTTAAGGAAGTATTTATTAATTATTACGAAGATTTCATAGCGCCAAAATTTGCTGATGAGACTTATTCAAACGTTCTGGATACACAAGTTTGAGATCCTATTCCAAAATACAATAATGTCTGGTTTAATTATTATTTGTTTATTTATTTGTAAATTAATTTAGATCGTTGATATTTTTAAAATATATTAGATACTTTTAAATTATTTAAATCGTAAACTATGTATTAAACAATTTAGATACAACTAGTTAAGGCTCGTTATATATGAAGTGACATTTAACTGTTTCTAATTTAACTTGGAAAGCCGAAAAGTAAAAAATGTAGAAGATTTGCATAAATTATGCAAATGTGATAAAAAAAAAACCAAAGTTTGGAAAACTTAAGATATGGTGCTTTATTAAACATTGCTTTTAGTATGTATATCCAATAATTGCACTCAAAATCATATCGTAGAAATCTTTACTACTGTAGGTCTTCACCCAATTCAACAACGGTAATTGTAACAGGCGACTATGCATAACTATGTCTCCTGTACAGTACAGAACATTTATGGTTCTATAAGACAATATAACGAATCTATTGAATCCGAACAGGGACTTCGTAGCGAATTTATTTTATCATTTAAATGTGATTTCCCTACATACATTTTAGCAAAAACAATTTTAGATAAAGAGTACACAAAGGTTGTTTAGAGATACTATAGTTTTAGATATAATTTTAGGTTTCATTTGAAATTATAATAATTTTACTTATTGATTTTAGTGAAATAATTATGGTCGTTATAACTTACTTAGTGTGGTGCGCTTATATACGAAAATCTGTTAATATACTATTATGGGTTATATTAGACGAGCAGAAGACAAGAAAACTACTTGAAGTCTTTAAATAAAGTATTTGTCCTACATAAATTAGTAGTAATTTTCTTACAAGTAAAACAAAAACTATTTATTTCCATTTAACATATACATATTCCTTAAAAGTTTAAAAGTACTCACGAATACAAATATCGATACTTTCAAGATATTCACGTGAGTACATACCATATACGAAATACTTTTAAAGCTTCACTATATAATAATAATACGAACACATACATAGGTATATCAGGGCTAATAGTTTTAAGACAGAAAAATGTTTGAAATAATCTCCTATATTTGTTTTCCCAGCAAAGGTTTAACATTGAACAGTACCTGGATGAACTGCAATATTTCATGAATCGCTCGCATTCATTCTACCATGGCTAATTACATCCACTAGTAAAGTTGGTACTCTTTTTCATTACTGGAAATTATCAATCAAAGCTAGCTGTTATGCTAGGTGGAATAGCCAAAATTGTAAGAAAATAATTGCTTTATTTCCAGAAAATAAGTTTCATAATTATATTTTAAGTATTTCAAGACGTACATACAGCTTATCGACTAATTTCTGAGAATACTTCAGCCCATCTCCTAACTATAAATACGTACTTACACACACATTCACACATACTGAATTAATCACGGAGAGAAAACACTTTAAGTGCATATAATACACTTCGAATATTAGTTGATCTATTCGAAACTAGGATCGTTTTAATATTCGAAACTGCGTTTTACTGTGCAGCTTGTGCTTGCATATTTTGTTGTTCGAATATGTGCACACTCTAGCATTCTAGGATATGGGTAATTGTATGTGTTATTGTTGTTCTTGTTCTTGTTCTTGTTGTAACCCGCTGGGATCTGCTTGTGAATTCCCTTTGAGAGGTATTGAACGGTACTTGGTCGTCACTGGCGACGAGTTGCTCCGGAACGTAGCTTCCAACCGTTCTTGCAACCATATGTATGTGTAAAATATGTGTGTGTTCGCATATTTCGTTATTCGAATTTATTTGCTTATGCTTAAACATTTTAGTATTTGAATATGCTTGTGTTCCAGTGTTTTACTTTTCGAATATACTTATGCTCAAACATTTTGATAAGCAAATATTCAAATACTATAATAAATGGTTTTTGAGTATTTACTATTATACAAATTTAAAATAAAAATAAAGTGAAATATAGAGTAAAATCGCATATTTTTAAACAAGTTGACCATTTTCGAATTCGAATACGAATATAAGCAAGCAACTTTGACATGGCGTCTACACTGGCTAGATTTTCGCAAAAATTTTATGTTCGAAAGGAAATACGCATTGTTTTCGAATTTTGTTCATGAACAAAAATTTGCTTGTGTTAGTGAAAATATGAGACAGTAAACAAAAATCTTACCAAAGCCTAGCCAGTGTAGACGCAATGTAAGTTGAATTGATTTCAACTTATAGATAAAACATAATAGCCTTGTTTATGATTAGAATAAATTTTTATTATGAAATTATATAATTATAAAGGATTATATTTTTATCTAGCTGCTCGTTAGACCCATATACACTAAATTGCGAATTACAATTATAATTAAACTCTATTGCATTAAATCTATCTAATATTATAGCAAAGTAATGAGACGTGCCTTACTTTAAACATTCTTCTTTTTAGCTGCTTATAAGTCTTAGTTGAACATCTTACATTTATACGACTGATTAAAGATTTTTAGTGAAGAAATAAATAATTTTTAATATAATTATAAAATATTTGAATTTATTTTTATTATATTGAAAAAGTATATTTTCAATACAAAATATAGTCTCATTGAAAATACTATAGCTTTTGTTGATGTGTGATTTTAATCGCGCAACTGTCTTGAAGAAACTTTGAGCCTTCGAAAATATTAATTGAAGTGGTTCCTACAGTTTATGATAGATAGATTTTTTTAAAAATATTATTTTAATATATTAAAATGTTATAGTATAAAACTATATAGTAAGTGTGCTGCTGTTACTACAATTTGAGTTCTTATAAGTAAAGTTTACGAACAAACTATTCATTCCTTATTGTGTAAGTTTTGATTGGATAATGCCCAATGCATAATTGACTTGAATATCTGTACTCGTAGCAATTCGAAAAAAAATAACACATCCGAAATTCATCCATCTCTTAAGTTCACCAATAAAATGTATATGTAGACAGGCTTATTAGCAGCGCAGATCGAAATAGTGCGCTTCAAGATGTTAAAAATTAAAGCATTAGGGCTCTACGCATACTAACGACCAAAAACGCCCGGTATCGCCACTCCGTTGCTTGAGCAATTGCGAATTCTAAGAGATTATGATGAACGGAGCGGTGCACGCGGCACCGTTGCGGCAGAGCTGCGACACCGTGCGGTTTTTATTGGTCGTGTGCACGGGAGCTAAGACGCGAGCTTCTATGTCAGATATAAATACCTTCTTCAGCAAAACTAAAATTATTATTATAAAGAAGTAACCTTACGTACAATTTTAAGATCGAGTGCATATTTTACAAATATTTTATAGAATAGCAATAGCACCAATTGCATACATATAAGCGCTATTATACCATATAAAGTCATATAAAATCTGTTAAAATAATAAAAATGAAAATAATTTTAAGAAAGCAAGGCACTAAAAAACGCAACCACAAACAACAAACAGCAAACAAAAAACAAAAAAATTAATTATAAATCAAACATTTATACGGTTACTAATCTACTTAAACTAACTAAAAACTGTTATTCGGTTTTTTAAGTGCTTATACATTTGTTACTAGTTATAAAGTAAATATGTTTTACAATTATTCAAAATTTTTAACAAACATGAATACTGTTTCTCAATAATATAAATAAACGTACATATACATGAAGATTGTTAAATTTACTTCACTATGTAGATTTGCAGTTTTGGAATAAATGTTAAAATATTGTTAAGTAAATACACTAAATATTTATAAAAATAACAAAAAAAAAAAATATATAAATAAATAAAAATCAAAAAGAAAATTATATGTAAAACCAACAATTAATATAATATATGACGCTTTTGCCTCATACAAATAATAATTTTAATTAAAAACAAATATATATATACATTAAAGAATTTGTAAAAATTAAATGAACAAATTATAGTTAATTCATTTTATATAAAAACAATTTTTGCAATACCATGCATTGTTTATCTTTTTAGCACTTAGTTATAACGTACATGTACTGCGATTATATATAGATTATTAATTATTAATTATTAATTATTAATTGATTTAAGAATGTTTACTCGCAAAACGCAATACGCAAAACAAATCAAAACCGATTACTCGTTAGTTTTAAGCAAATATAGTACTTAAGTTTTTGGTGTTTTTTTACGGCAATAATTTTTTAGCTTCCAAGAAGCTTTATACATTTATAATAATAATAATAATAATTATAAAAAATTTATTATAAATTGTTATTGTTAAGCATATCAAAATTTTACCGGCTACTGTGTAATTAATATTAGAAACATACCCATATACATTGTTAAAAACAATTATATATGCATATACATATATATTTGCATATATATATATATACATGTATGTATGTATATATTAAAATGTATTTTATATATATGTATATGCAACAAAAGATACATATTATTACACTTACAACTGAATTGGTCAGGCTTTTTTAACAAAATTTATTATATGCAAATAAATTAAGTAAAAAACGGGTAATCGGTAAATACATATATTTTGCGCTCTGATAACAGGAATAAGCAAACCAAAAAAAAAAAATTATCTTTTATAACATCAATCCAACATATTCGTATCAATTTAAATTTCGATTGGTTAATATACATATTTATATAAAATTAATTTATTATAATTATTACACACTATATAAAAAAACCGGTTACTCGCTTTTATTGCTTAAGTAAAAACAAATTTACGATTTTACTAACAAAAATATACCAACTTAACATTTGCTTAAGAACTTCTCACAAATGCAAGGCAGGCACACACAATCAGTTAATTAGAAAACAATTGAGGTATTCACGATCTTGAGTAACGAAGTCGTTAACCCCGAGTAAGATAGTAATAAGCAATACAATGTGATAACAACAAAACACAAGTAATCGAATTGTGTTTAAATATTGCCGCTTTGAACTGAACTGTAAAGAGTAAATACCACAGAAAGCAGTACAAAAATTTAAAACCAGTGCTAGCTACCTTATAAATTTAACCGGCTGCCATTTCATATTGACCAACTTCAGACATAGTCTAAAATACTTCTAATGAAAAAACATATTGAACTGCTGTCTTAGATATATAGATATATCCACTTGCGTTTTACAAATATGGAAGTGTCAATATTAGTACCACAATAAGTAGAGTCCTATTTTCACATTAGATAAGTCGATTTTAATATTTGTGTCATAAATACAACGGCTCATAACGCAACTAGGTTGACCACCGATAACTGTCATCTTCAAAAGCGATTTAATCTACAGTACCCCTTATCCCCCTTCAACTTCAACCACTACCACTACTCAGCTTGTAAATCCTTTCTTATGTGCTTACAGGTCCCAATAAGCTATAATAACATCGTTCCAACCCATTTTCAATTCTAAACAGTCCCCCCTCTCCTCTCACACAATCAATACTTATCCACATCCTAACCATTCGTCTTGCAAATTTGCTTAATAGATCTTTACGGGTTAACAAGAAAGTTCCGGAGCCACTTGTTAATTCAACGTCCCGGAATCACTTGTCAGATTTTCATGGGTTACCACAAAACAATAGCAAGGATAACTGCCTTTTTTACCCAAGCAATGTCCTCACATTTGCATAATTGTAATATTTGAGCTGATTAAACTTTGGTAATGGTATATCTCTCAAAGGAACTGTGTGAGTGTCACAAAAAGTTGCAATTTCTATATTCTATATTCTCAGATTACCGAGCTCGACATTCGAGATTGTGAATATCAATCACTATTAATATTAAAATTATATTTTATACAATTTCTTTATTTTATAAATAAACCTCGCTTTATTTTAATTTTGATATTTTTTGGATTTTTTGGTACAATAAATTATTTATTTTATATGCTAAATAAGTACAAGACGTTATCACTTGGGCGACAAAATGAACTATTATAATCAACTAATCGTTAACTTTTTTATAAAACACGCCACATTATTTAAAAAATTTAACTTATTTACTACACAAGCAAGAACAAAAGGTAAGATATATAGTTTACATTTTTCATTTATGACCAATTTAATAAAAAATATATAACAAATGTTTTAAAAAGAGCTATTTTATGTTTAAATTAAGTCAATAAGGCAAACAAATGCAATGTTAAACAAATAAGAAATATTGAATTCAAAATTTAAATATAAAAGTATACTTATATTAAAAAAAAAAATTAAGATATGCAAAAACATAAAAAATAAAAATTTTTAACAAATTTAAAAGCAAAAAAAAAACCTTCATTTTTTTCTATTACGAATATATATTGTTCAAAATATAAATATTAACATTTATTTCTTTGAGGGATTAGCTCAAGAAATGATTGATAATTAAAAATTTAATAATTAAAGCGGTTATACTAAGATATAATACATAATATAGATAAAATGGTGTAATTAAAGAATACTAAAACATTATTTTTGACTAAAGAAAGGATTCGGAACGATTTAAACGTACAAAAAGTGCTGCCGCCGCTAAACGTGATCGTACATACTGTTGACTTAGATCATGTGCCCACTCGATACGTCCCCAGAATTTCAACTGGTATGCTTCTTCAAGTAGTGCAAGTGCCACTGCTTTCTCGTTAATTAGCTGTTGTTCTATCACAGCACAGGCGAGTATTACGGATTTTAATGTATCCACAGCGAAGGCAATACCTAGTAAAAATTAAAAAATGATTAGATAGATTTTATTTTAGCTTAACAAAAATATTATAGTTCACCATGAAGAGTTTCCAGGCTATATAATGACAAATATTTCGATATTTTCAGTTTATCCTCTGCTGAGATTAGTGGCGGAGTTAATTTCAGTGTCTTCTGTATATTCGTATTGAAACGCTTATTAAACCATTTTAGAACTGGATCCCACTCGTTAAATTCTAGCTCCACTAAATGCTTTTCATTCTAAATTTAATAAAGATAATTTCAAATTATTATTAAAGTTACGTATTTCTGTTATTAATGTAATATTATTGTAATCCCATAAGGATTATAAAACATCATAAAATGGTAGAAAAAGAAAATTATGTTATTGTTAGATAACGAAATGAATTTTTTATTGATTTATTGAATTCATAAAGAAATGAGAATTCAACCGGAGGTTAGAAGGTAATGAAAATGAAGTTAATCTGATTAAGCAAAAGAGTATATATATAGTTAGATGAAACGCGACATCACAAAAAGGAAAGAAAGGGAAATTAAATTTGTGAAAAATGGGATGAGTGGGTTATTTGGTAATACAAAAGGAATAAATTAGGAAAGAATTATTTTTAGTATATCCGTACTGCAATAGGAGCTTAAAGTTTTTATAAGTAGTTTCCATCCATTTCCATTCCTAGTAGTCCTATTACGTTGAATGATTTGACAGTCTCTAGGTAAACAGATTTGCTCCCAATTCAAGAATTCAATGTAAATAAAATATCTAATTTTTCATCATAGTCTTACGAAACTTATGTCCAATTAATTCCAATATTCGCTTTCTCATTTCTCATTTCGGTGATGATGTTGAATTGATCCAATAGTCATCAAAGTTCTCACATTTAAGTTCGCGGCCGCTAGATGAGAAAAGAATAGTGAAATAATTCAACAATTTAATTAGTATTAATAAACAATTCCACAAAGGACGGAAATAAAAGATTAGTGAAAATAGAGGGTTAGTAAATAATGAAAATGCTGTTAATTAGGGTACGCGAGTGAATTTAACTAATAAAATAAGTGAATTATTGATAAATAGAAATGAACTTGACCAGATAACAAGAGTGAATATAGCTAAGATAAAAACAATATTGAGGGGAAAAAAGAAAACTTTGATGTTAGGTAAATTAGTGGGTTATTGAATAATTGATAAGGCATAGATGAAGCAGGAAGTGTAGATGAATCTGTTAATTTATAAGGATAAAAAAATAATAAGAGAAAAAAAAGGTGATAAATTAAATTAGTTAGTAAATAAGTGAAAATAAAAATGATAACAGTACGAGAGTAAATTAAGCTAATTTAGTCATATTAGAAAAAAAAAGAATAGAAAGATTAGCGAAGAAAAAAATGAGTGAATTATTGAACCGTGAAATAAATATCACAAGAGGTAAGGGAATGATAGGTTGTGGAAAATATAATGAACGGATTATGCAGAAATAAGAAAGGAGTTGAAAAGAGGAATACATGACACTAACCTGTATCTAAATTTAAGAACCTTGGCGTCACAATGTTACGGAGCCACAAATTCATTGGACTGAAATTTATGTGAACTGTAAGATAATTAAAATTAAGTAATTTAAAATAACTTATTAACATGAAAGATACATGTTAATAATTGTTTAGATTTCTTTAACTTATTTATTATTACTACATATTTTCTTTTGTTGAATGGTTCTTTTAGTTTTTATTTAAATTCTTAATGTAGCTCCTAATCTATGCACCGCAATATTGTGGGACTCCTATTATAATACTAAGGTTTTTAGAAATGTATTAATAGCAAGTGATGTTAACTACATAACTATTTTGTAATAAGATTTTATGATTTTACCTGAAAAACAAAAATTAGTCTATTTACTATTTACCGTGAAAAAATAAATTACAAAAACAATATACCGCTTTAATATTTTTTGTATACAATTTTAATCAATTTATATTACTTTTTTAATAAGCTTGAAAAATTAATTATTATTAAATATTTTAATGAGATACGCTCAATTAAATTAGAATTCAAAAAAATGTATATAATTAAATACTTGATTTACGTAATTGAACAGAGAAAACATAAAAATACCATACATTCAGATAATAGAGGGCAATAGTATGCATCCGCTGTGCAAGTCATGGACGCATTCAGTCTATAAGACAAATTAATATCATGTAACGAAAAATATCACCAAAGATATTTGGTTAATTTGTTTAAAAGTTTCTTTGAAGACCGTCATTTGGATTTGCATCAATTGTTCTGCAAATAAGCGTCTATGTCTTTAAGACGTATTCCTTAACGGTTTAATCCGGTTCCAACTGCGTTGAAACAAAAATATATCCAAAAAAAAAAAAAATATTAGGTGTCCTTATAATTAAAGCCACAGTGAATTATAGTGAATTAACGGTAACTGAACAGCAAAAAATATTCAGTTTTTTAGAATGAGGATTCCGCTGAGGATTTCCTAATATCAGATAGAAATAGAAGATTCAAATCACGTTAAACGAATTACATTTTTTATGTGATTTTTAAGCGATATAGCTTACAATAATTTTTTGATTTCCTACTAAATTAAGAGAAGACTTTTCAACGTAGTCTAATTGTGCTCACCTATTACACCTTATACTCGTATCACTCGTATTAAGCAATAATAATGAGTATTATTAAATATCCGTTTCACAACTACTATACCAAAGTCTAAATAATTTAAATATTATAATATAATACAAAAATACGAAATTATATCACAGTGAAAACTCTTCAATGGAATCTTTCCTTGTGTAGACAATGTTTTTTAAACCAAATTTTTTTTATATCGTCACTTAAAGTAAGTTAGCGTCTTTGACCGCTCACTTTTAGCTTGTAGAAAGTGTCCACTCAAGAGCTTTTACTGTACTCTTTAAATAAAATTTACTTACCTCACTTTGATACAAAATAGTGTCTGTTGCAATGTAATCCAATAAATAGTCCACAATATTCATTTTGGTAAGCTTATTCGGATTGTCCAATGCTGTAAAGCATAAAAGACTTAAATGCATTTTGGAGAGTTCGATATATTCTAGCTGGCTATCAAATTCATTCGCTACAGCAATCGCAAGTGGTTCACTATTCACTGTGAATATTGTGCCATTCGGTGTCTTCAGTTTTCGCTGATCCAATATCACTTCGTATTTACCATTATTGCAGACAACTGAAGTATTTCTGTAAAATCGCCTGGCCGGAGCGGCTAAAAAATATACACATATTTAACACATCATTCTAATAAAAGTATGCAACCTACCATAAAAACGTCTTGATAAGCATTGACGTTGTCGTACCGCGCTATTCAAAGGTTTTTGCAATAATTTGAACAAATTATTCATACTAGTTCAAAACATTTATTTTATAATCAAACAAATTTTTGTCTGATAGTTGTCAACACTCGCAACACACCTGCTAAATCAAAGAAATGCTAAAATGCATAAAAAATCAGCTGTTTGGCGTAATATATTTAAAGGGCAATAACACAATAGAATAAGATGATATGAAACTCTTACTCTAACTCCAAATTAATTTTTGCGTTTGACGTTTATAATATTCATCAATTGAATTTGTTTTGATTTAGATCTTTCGGTGCTCTGCCAAATAAACAAAAAACTTTTTTGTTTTTACAGAACTTTAAAAATATTAAAATTAATAGCAAAAACAGAATTTGACAATTCTCCAAACGTAAAGATTTTAAAGTTAAATAAATTGTACATCGGTTATAATATAATATAGTGAAAATGACAAAAACAAAAGCAATTTATTAAATTTGCCAATAAAATTGTAACATAAACTTTTTATATCTTTTGCAGACGGTACAACATTACGGATTTACTTAGTTTCTTGTAAAACTTTTAATAATTATTTTACTACAAATAATCACAAACTAATAAAAACTTAATTTTTTAATAAAGTAAAATTCATATATATATTGAATATAAAATCATGTCTGCTGTGATTAGTATGAATATATTTTATTTTAATTTGGCTACTGATGTAATAATAGGCGTTTTTGGTGAAAACCAACATGTGCTTGAGAACATGATAGCACAGAGAATTGCAGTAAGTATCACATAACTTCTGTAAATTATTTGTAATAAAAATTAAATTAAAATAAAACATTTTTTTAGGATGACTTCACTACAGTCTGCCTAGGAAGAAAAATGCTCACATTTTTAAGTGCATTTGAAGCGACCAAAGACAACAACAGGCGGAATGATAAATCGTCATGCTTACCACCCCACACTTTTAGTAAAATGCAGTTGAGAAGTTATTTAAATTTTATTTTCTATTTCCGTAACTAAAGACTAGTGAAGTAAGTAAATAGGAATAAAAAAAAAGGAAATTAACTAATTATTACTTGTAAGCGCTATCATACATTCTGTGTAAGCTATTTTTCTCAGAGAGATAAACAATGTTATTTGCGTTTCTACATTTACTTGACTTCATTAAAAAAGACCGGGAGTGAACCTGTTGCATATAGTAGCTTAAATTTCAACGAGCCTTCAGTTCAAGATTGGTATATTAATTATACTTGATGAATTTATGCCACACAGTTTTGTTTTTATTTTTCATTGAACTTTTAAAAGTTTTCTTTTGTATTTAAATGGTATTATATATAAAGTAAGTTAATCAATTTAGTTTTTATAACCGTTGCAGTTTTTTTTTATATGGCTAATAATAACCGTAACATTTCGAAGTCTCATATAAATTATATCAATATTGTTTTGTTATATTTGCTTGTGAGTCTATATTTATATATGAAAATTATACATAATTATCATAGATTTGGAAACGTATCTGTACCTTAAGCGTATATTTAACTTCCACTATGTCTCATTTATGCAATTTTGTTCATTACGCAAAAATATATATATATTAAGTACAAATAAATAAGTTTATTATAAATTAATTAACAATTTATTAATACATTAATAAAATTCCCACAAAGCATTTTACTAAAATTTAAGGCTACTCTTAAATTATAAATTAGTTTATGAAAATGAAAACGACCAAATCTGAATTTTATTATCATAAGTATTTTTAGCTGTAGTGGAAACATGATTTTATTATCTTTTTATGTTTATTTTAAAAGTATGGAAATAGATTTAATGTAATGAAAAATTGAAGTATGATACGTATGCAAAATTTCAATTACAATCGCAACTAACTTCGTAATGTAAGTAGAGAAAGATGTTTTGGCATTTGTCTCTATTTGTCATATTCGTAAATTGCTGCTTCTCTTTCTACTTTCTTCTGCATTACTGCTTCTGGTGTAGAACCATTTTGAACGCGCTGCGGAAAGATAGTGAGGCGTCTGCAATCGTTGTCATATTACGACAGTTGAAGTGACTTCATAAGAATTAAAATTTAAAATATTATTAAGTGCATAAAAGAACAAAATCGCTTTCAAAAATGAGCGTTGAGGAAGAGGTTTTTAAGATCCAAAAAAAGATGAGCAAAATCACAGCAAATGATGGAGCTGTAAGTACCTTTAATAATGAAATGTGAAATGTGATTAACGTTTATTGTTTCCTGAAGAAATATTTGTTTTGAATAAATATTGACTCTTGTAGATCGTATCATATATAAATTGTCTAAACCACTGATCTATTTAATAGTGTAATATTACAAGACTTGCAGTAGTTTTTTCTTTTTTTTTGCATTATCTGGCTCCGCACATAAAACACCGGCGTCAATTAAGCGCGCGGTTTTTGTTGCATAAATTGACAACAAAAATTTCTAATTTAACAATCAGTATTGGTTGTGGAAAATTAATCAAACTCAAATCATAGAATGACTGTTATATTTGATCATAAGTTTGTGAATTAATTAATTTTAGAGCCACCTAAAACACATTTTTGTACCGTGTGAAAAATAATTAGAAATGCACACCTTTGGTAACAAGAACCCTAAAATCTGCTAATGCACATATTTTTTTTATGGTTTGTTGTTATAGAAGTAAATATTAATATTGTATATATTAAACACATACTCTCTTGAAATGAAGTCAAATTATTTAGATTTGAATATATCTGCCATATACAACAATCTTTTGGTGGCATGTTGTCACCAAAGTACGATTTGGTGTTCTCGAGCAGTAACATAAGCTCCAACACTCCTTACTCTTATCTTATACTGTTACCAGCTGATAAAGTAGTAATAGAAATTTAATATCTAATTCATTGAAGCCCTCGCTATAATTTAATATAGTTTTTGGTGCTTTATTCATGCAAAATTGTTTAATAAAAAAAATTGTAAAATAAATTTAACAATATTAAATTGAAATTTTCCATAACCCGCTTAATTTGTTTTACATCTAAGATGAACATGTGCTATGTTATAGTGAGATTGTTAACTGTTCTATAATGGAACATGTGCTATGTTGAAGTGAGATTGTTAACTGTTCTATAACGGAACACCATAAATATTTCTTATATTGTAATCTTAAGAACGTAACAAATGATATGAATTTTTTCCTTTTTTTTACATTTGCAATGAAATGCAAATAGAAAAACATACATAAGATCACTTAAAATTTTATTGCCAGCTTACTATGGTGAAATAATAAAGTAGGGATCTTGTTCCTAACATTTAGAAATATAACAAAAACTTTGAATTTTAGTAATTTTTCATCTCAAACTGTTATAATTTATTTCTATATATGTAATTAAAAAATCAAACAAGATCACTTTAAATTTTATTGTCACCATACCGTAGTGAAGTAATAAAGTGGGAATATTGTTCCTAGCATTTAGAAATATCACAAAAATTATTAATTTAATTTTAATTAATTTTTTCATCTCAAACTGTTTAAATTAGGTATTTTTACATTTGCAACTAAATAATCATACATAAGATCACTTTACATTTTATTTTCACCATGCGAGGTGAAATAATAAAGTAATGATCTTCCTAGCATTTGGAAATATCATAAAAACTTTGAATTTTATTAATTTTTCATCTCAAATTGTATTAATTAGGCATTTCTACATTTACAACCGAATATAAGATCATATATAAGATCATTTTAAATTTTATTTTCATCATGCAAAGTGAAATAATGAAGTAGTGATCTTCTTCGTAGCATTTGGACAAATATAATAAAAAATTTAAATTTTATTAATTTTTTATTTGAAACTGTTTTAATAATTTATATTTACACTAACAAATAAAAAATTATACATAAAGGCCACTTTAAATTTTGTTGTCACCATAGTATGGTGAAATAATGAAGCAGGGGTCTTGTTACTACCATTTGAAAATACAGCAAGAAATTCGAATTTTATTAATTATACATCCCAGAAGATTTTCATATATTGTTTTATTTCTACATTCGCGATGAAATTAAAATAGAAAACCATAGATATATTCACTTCAAATATTATATTTACCATTTGGTGTGAAATAATAAAGAGGAGATCTTTTTATTGAACAAAAGCAAGAGACCTTACGGTAATACTAAAGTTTCTAATGTTACCCACAGAACTAAAAAAACTTACAAAAAAAAAATTCTGCATTTTAAATTCATTTCAATAGTATTTAAATCAACTTCTTTAATATTTTAAGTTTAAAACAATCCACAAGTTCAATATCATTATTTATCTGTTACATATTTTTTCGTCTTATATTTTCGAGTCATTTTTTATATTATTACGGGCAAGTACTTTTTTAATAATCTTTTCTTAACTAATAAAACCCGTATATATATTGTGTAATGTATATACACAATATACATATTTATGTAAATACATTAATATATGTATAAATTCCACTGATCAAAACTTTGTTTTATTAGCATTTATGGAGCTTTCATAATGCTGAAGATGAATCTGCACTCCATTTTTTTTTCTGTTGGGTCTAGTTTTTGAGATGTGGGCAAATACCATTACTGGAATATATAACGTCTCTTAACTGTACCCAAAAGTGTTTAAATATTCTGTTACTCATTTATTTAGTCATCTAAATAATTTTGAGTGACGAGCGTTAAAATATTATTGTTTTATTTTTTTTTTTATTTAGGCTATAACTTTGAGTATATATACCTGAAATTTTTTATCAGGATATTTTTGTACATACTTTATGAAGATTGCATATAGAAAATACCAAAACTGTAGAGACAAGACAAATTACAAGAACGGTACTTGCTGACAAAAACTGTATTTGATAGGAAAAATCGAGTACATGTGGTGAATTTTTCGTATTCACCATTTTAAAATTTAAAATAATTATATATAGTGTTATTGTTATATATTTTTAGTTATTCTATATGATACCAATTCAGATATATTGCTAAATTATAAAAAAAATATTTTGCTATAAATTTTTTACTTCAATTAAAATTGTATCTACAGAAATTTCATACTTCTAAAGGAATTTATCTAATATAAAATTTTTGGAAATTTCATTTTATATATATTGAACACTCCATAACATACATTGTGACCGAAAGGTTTTCGGAGGTTCTCATTTAAAATTCGCGCGCTGTATATTTTTCGATATTTTAAGTTTATGTAGTTTGGCAGCACTGTCCTTAATTACTATGCCAAAAATGAGCGCGATCTGTCGGACAGTTCGTTTACGGCAGCTGTTGAAACCAGTTCACCTCAGTAGTGCGTTGCGAAAAAAACAATGGAAAAAAATATTGAACAAAGAGTTTGCATCAAATTTTGTTTTTCGAACGAAATTTCGTGTGCAGAATCGTTGCGAATGCTACAAAAGGCTTATGGGGAATCAGTTTTATCGAAAACTCAAGTTTATGAGTGGTACAAAGCCTTTCAGGACTGTCGTACGACCGTCGAAGACATGCCGCGTTCTGGACGACCTTCGACCTCTACCACCGACGAAAACATTGAAAAGGCAAAGGAAATCGTGTTCAAAAATCCTCATGTGAGTGTTAGAGAGATAGCACGAGAGCTAGGCATCGGTCGTGAGATGGCTCGTTTGATTTTGGTGGACAATTTGTGTATGCGACGTGTCAACGCCCGGCTTGTTCCGATTCACCTCAATTTGTTCAACATTATCAACGATTTTAAGGCCAAACATTCAATAAATACCATCGAACAGCCACCGTATTCACCTGATCTTGCACCGTGTGACTTTTTCCTGTTTCCCAACCTCAAATTACCACTCAGAGGAACGCGTTTTGAATCCATAGAAGACGTAAAACAGAATTCGCAGAGGGAACTCAAAGCCATGCCGGAAAGCGCCTATAAAAAATGTTTTGATGATTGGAAGAAACGTTGGCATTTGTGTATCGCTTCTAATGGAGCATATTTTGAAGGAGATAAAATAAATATTGATGAAGATTAAGAATTTTGCGGTTTATTTAAAAATTTCCGGAAGCTTTTCGGTCACAATGTATGTTTTTGAAGACTCTGATGATAATATCAGGTAGTATTAAACAATTGTGTTGTTATTCTGATAACATATTTTGCGAAACCTTGAGAAGTATATTAAATGAAAGGTAAAATTACAATGGATTAAACGGCATTGGTTTGTTGACCGTTTCTGGAATTGGAGTTCCAGACTTTTAAGGCTTCTAGTTTATTCATGTCAGGTAACTTATTCCATTTGCCTTCATTAAATACTTCAACTTGAGTTTTTTTTATACTAAGAAAATACAAAAGCAAATGCAGACACTATTAAAATTCTTCAACATTGGAAATGTTTATAAACAGATTTTTTTCGGAAATTAGTTACTAGAATATAATATTCTAAACAAATGCAAAAACTATGAACGAAACAAAGAAAAAAAAACAAATTTGCAACAACAGCTATGTTATCTTGTGTACTATGTAACTTTTCACGTAATGAATTTGTTTAAGTGAATAATGTGAAATAGCACACTAGCGTTACAAATTAATTATTGAAATTTGAATTTTATAAACAAATTAATAATTAATCATTAATTTACTTTATGAATATATGTGTGGAGGCTATATTAAGAAGAAAGTAAATCTATTTAATAATGAGAGTATTTTTAATATCTCATTTAAGTACTTAAGTAAGTGATTTTAAGGTTTTTTATTATTTCAGACCAATATTAAAAAACAAAAAATAAATGACAAAATTCAGAAGCAATTTAAATCAGAAAAGTGGATAAATAAAAGTGTTGTTAAATGTTTTTAAACATTGCATTTATTTTCTAAATAAAATATTTTATTTTATTGTCAGCACTGATTTTTCGACTGGCTATCTGTTCTTATGTTAAAACGATGATTGGTTATGGCTTGATAACTTGATTATACCATATACTATATACTATTCTTTTATCATATCTTTCTCAATATATATCGACGAATGTATGGACAATTTATTTATATAAATAAGACACAATAATAATCGAAAAATCAGTTTTATATTCTAATCAAGTACATTTTTGTATATTAAAATATTTACAGCATTTCAGTCTTAATAATTCATGGCGATATATATTCTTTTATAGATTTTGTCAAGTATTGTAATACAAATCATTAGAAGGAAGTAGTTTAAACGGTAATCAGTAGATTTTCTTTAACAAATTGATTCATGAAACAAGAAGAAAGTTAAAAAGGTAAATTTCGCTGATCATGAAATTATTGATTTATATATATTTTATTATATTTATTGTATTATATTTTATTTTATTTATTTCCTTGCAAAATTATTTAATACAGAGCATAGAACAAAAGCAAGTTTTTTTATCTGTCTTGATCGCTAGCGAGCCTTATAACATAAAGACCCTGTCCTCGAATATGTAGAATACCTTCTGCTCAAAAAGTACGGATTTTGTAAATAAAACACACAAATTTAAATTTTATTCCAAATTTATTTTATCTCCTTCAAAATATGCTACTTCTGCAGCGATACACATATGCCAACGCTTAACCCAATCTTCCATATACTTTTGGTAGGCCCGTGCAGGTATAGCTTTTAGTTTCTTCGGCGAATTCTCTTTTACCGATTCAATCGACTCAAAACGCTTACCACGAAGGGGCAATTTGAGTTTCGGGAACAGGAAAAAGTCGCACGGCGCCAGATCTGGCGAATATGGTGCCTTAGCGATGACAGTGGTGCCGGTGCCGTGTTTGGTCCAAAAATCGCGTACAACAAGAATTTTCCATAGTAAAAATTGCTAAATCCACTTGAGATAGTCTCACAGCTGCTGCTGTAAACAAACTAATTGACAGATGACGCTCAAATTTTTGAAAAAGGTCTATTAATTAAGGAGTAGTTAACAAACAACAAAATCCTTTTTGAGCAGATGGTATGTACTATTATTCGATTTCTCTCTTATATTTTCGGCGTTAAATGCGTCACATATATTGGGTTTTTACCAAATTCTGATTGAGTAGACAAATATTGTCTTCATATATTAAAAGTAGAACATAACATTTACGTGATCAAATATCTTGCTATTTAGAGAAGGGAAAAGGAGCAAAGGCGATAGCTTCTAAACTAGTCGGACCCAAATGTGTAGCCATCTAACAGAAGAAGGAAGAGAAAAGGTGACAGCTTCTAAACTGGTCGGACCCATTTCTTTATTAAAATAAATTATAGAGTTGGATAGCGTTGGATTGTTTTATATTGCATGTGACAACGATATTATGGTACCTGCTATATCTCTTGTGTACAAGTTAAAGTATTTACATAACCATGGGCGTAGCCGCCTCTTTCCTACCTAACTACGCCTATGTGCACAACGGTTGAAAGTTTTTGTTAAGAGGTATCCTGTTTGTTTTGACTTTTTTGGTAGATAATCTTTGTCATTATTATGACTTAAAAGTTATTATTGTACCAATTTTTTAAAATATAATCATGTCTGTTTTCTCTTTCAGTAATTCTGATTGTTTTGATCGAGAATTTATTTAACTCTAATTAATTGAATTACTAAGAGTATAGTCGAATTATTATAAAATTAAAACACATTTTACAAATACAAAAACATAAGTTTTGAAATGGAATTTCATAAGTTCTCATTAAATATTCAATTCAAAATTGTTCACAAGTGTTTTTATATTAATTTATTTTTGATAAGAGTTTACAGCTCATTGGAATATTTATACATAAATATTTTGCAGGCGTCTATAAATTGAAATTCAAAGTGTTTCTTTTGTTGAAAATGTTTTATTTATTTATGAATTGAATTTCATTAATATCAGTCAAAAAATCATTTGTACTTGAAATCACAAAAAGAAAAAACAAATCCTTTATTTTATTGTTGCTTTGATTATATTATAGATTAAAAATTCCACGTACATTTAATATTATAACTAAATCTTTAAATATTATTTGAGCTGGTCCAAGCTTCTATCATTATTATCTTCGAATTGCTTGCGAGCAGCATTTGATTCATGCATAGTGACCTACTCGAAAATGTTCGAACATTATATTGTCTGCAATTATTACTGTTAAACGTATTTCTACAAAACAAAACAAATATAAAACAAAAAAAAAAAACATATACAGTTAAACTTCCATAACTCGAACTTCTGTAAATCGAATTGTCTATAACTCGAACTTCTATAACCCAAATTTCTCTAGAACACGAATAAAAATATTGTTACGTGCCATTAGGAATATGGGAAAGTGTATTCTATAAGTCGAATTTTCATTTTAAGTATGAATCCATTTCGATGATAGGGGAAATCCCTTTGTCCAAAACAAATGATTAATTTTTTATTTCTTAAGCTGCTTTGTGCAAATGTCAGTCGCTGGCAAACGGTAGTCAAACGATACCGCACTGCTTTAAAAAGCTGGATTTGGCTAATTTTCTACATGGGACGAACAGGACGACTTTCCCTTGATTTTAATCCAATGTTACTCTTAACCAGGATGACCTTCCTTTAACCCAATGCTACTCTTAACCATTATATTATATTCAGCTTGACAATGAAATTTGTACATCAAGCTTTCCTACAGATGACAATATTATTGAGGACTATAGCTCTGAATTAGTGGATCCGATTCTAAGTGCAATGGAAAGTGATGATGAGGGTTGGGTGGATGAAATTGTTTATTAGCCTTCCGAGAATGTGGTAGAATATTCATTCAAAATTCTGAATTTTTATTTGCAAATGAATGATACTACAACTTATGATAACTATAGGACTTAAAATAAATTGAAATCTCTTTTTACTGAAAAATTTAAATTCCAAATCCTAATTTCGAAATATTTTACTTCACTATAACTTCTGCGCTGATTTCATTTCAAATAAATAAATATCTTAAAATGTTATTCTAGTTTCTTTCAAAAATAAAAAAAAATAAAAAAATTCTCTAACTTGAAGTTTTCATAAATCTAAGCTTTTCTTAGCAAAATGTTACTTCGAGTTATGAGAGTTTGACTGTATTTCAAGTATATTCGAAAATTTTATATATTCGGTCCATATGTTCGAATTTGAGTTACTTGAGCGAGTTACTCGAACATCGTAATACTCTAACACTGAAGCAAAAAGAAAAATATAGTACCGAAAACTTTAAGTGTTGATTTAAACAAAAAAAAAATATTCCAACAAATAAGTACCTTTAATTGTCTAAAGATATCTTCGTGGCCATCTTCACAACGGGCCATTGTTTAACCTCAAGTAGGTTTTGGGCACAAGGTCTTTGAGTGGCGGCCTAACTTTATTGTCTAAAGAAATTAAAATTCAATTATATAAATTTAAGGTTACTTATCATGTCGGTGCCTAATGTGTAGTGCAGTTGCGACTTTACACAGCATGGTTTCTCTCCTTGCAGTCAACACAATAAACCATACTTATTTATTGTCCTATATTACAGAGGACTACTACTACTACTACTACTATTACTACTACTACTATTACTACTACTACTACTACTATTACTACTACTACTATTACTACTACTACTATTACTACTACTACTATTACTACTACTACTACTACTATTACTACTACTACTATTACTACTACTACTATTACTACTACTACTATTACTACTACTACTATTACTACTACTACTATTACTACTACTACTATTACTACTACTACTATTACTATTACTACTATTACTACTACTACTATTACTACTACTACTATTACTACTACTACTATTACTACTACTACAGAGAACTACTACTACTACTACAGAGGACTACTAACTACTACTGCAGAGGACTACTAACTACTACTACTACAGAGAACTACTACTACTACTACAGAGGACTACTACCAGAATAAATTTATTTTACTCTCTCTCAAAATCATTTCCAACTTAAATTGTGTCCCTATATGCTACATCTTCTCTAATTCTTTACTTTACAATATTATTCCGTTCATATTCCTTTTTCGTACTACTCTTATGCTCTTATGATTATTCGATTCCATCAAATAATCTATAGTACTATCGTGTATATACTAGTGCTGTTCATATTCGAATTTACGAAGTACTCGAAGAATTCGAATATTCGAATAGTAAACGAATTAAAATAAGTAAAATTCGAATTTTTTTCCAACTTCGAAGACTCCGTTGAAATACGAATATTCGAATAATAGAAGAACTTCGGTTTTTTAAAAAATTTGAATAATGCGAACAGCACTAGTATATACAACAACAATTTCCGGTTATAATTACAACATTGTTGATATTAGTTTATAAATATTTTTCACATAACTTCTATTTTACTGTAACACTTCGCTTCAGAAAAACTGAAGACTTTAATAATAAGAGAGACAGAAAGAAATATATTTTTATTTGTAACATAAATATGTGAAAGATGAGATTGCTTGCTCACGCATTGTATTCCACAGATTTGGATCACAGTGACTATTACTTATTTCGAAACTTGAAAAGATGACTCTAGCGAAAGAGATTTGCATGAAATGATGGAGTGGAATGGGAAACTGACGTATGTTTTGTAGGACTTCATGAATCGTATTTCATAAAATGCATCCAAATGTTGAAAGATCATTGGACTTGAATGTATCGAGCTAAAAAGGAACTATGTTGAAGTATAAAATATAATTTTCTAAAAAAAATGTGTTCTTATTACTTAGGCCGGACATTTATCAATCTACCTAGTATAAGCTAATGTTGAATGAAGCACGTGTCTTTTATGTTTGAAGAATAAAAAAAGTCGTAGTGTGTCACGTCTGGAAAATATATTGGTTGCAGTGTTAAAATAATATTCACTAGAAATTGTAGTAAAATTTAAAAGTGGTGCAAAATGTGATATGAATCAGTACGTTGTCACGGTGCAAAATTCAAGAGTTATGCTTCCGAATTCTGTTGTGTTTCAATATCTGTCTCAATGTAGCGTTCTGAAGCTTATACGTGTGAGATAATATCGTCGTTTAATGATTTCTTTAAAGTTTTGAATATTGTGCTGCATTTTATTCCGTTTTTAACACAACATCCACCTCTCAAATCTCTGTGATCTAAAAATCTGCCACACAAAAATTCGATAAACTCTAATATATTTATTACTCCATCGCTTGATTAACAAAAACTAGCATCACAGCTGCGTGATAGTCACCACTCATGTTACTGGCAGAGCAATCAATACATAAAAAATTACTAATTCGAAAAAAAAGATACAGTGCATTCATTTTTAAAATTCTTTTCAATGTTTGATCCTACTTCATATATATGTTAATTGGAAATATAGTTTATATTCTTGATGTTTTTTTATATTTTGCGTATAGATTTAATATGTTTAATGAATTTTTGTTATTTTTTTTCTTTGCAGGGTCAAGATCAAGCACTTGATCTTCTAAAGGCTTTACAAACACTTAACATCAATTTGGATATTTTAACTAAAACACGCGTCGGTATGACGGTGAATGAATTACGTAAAAGTAGCAAAGATGAAGAAGTTATTGCTTTAGCTAAAACATTAATTAAGAATTGGAAGCGCTTTCTTGCTGCACCAAGTGCTTCAACACCAAATGCCAGTAAAGAATCTGGCAGCAGCGGTAGTACCAAAGTATCTAGCAGCAGTAAGCATTCGTCTTCCTCTGTTAAAGATAAAGAAAAATCATCATCTTCGTCTTCTAAAGAGAAAAAGCGTGAAGAAGAAAAGAAGCAAAATGCTGAACGCAAAGCACCAATAACCACCACTTTTCCACCGTCAGCATCTGGTATGACGGATGCTGTACGCATTAAATGTCGTGAAATGCTTTGTAATGCCCTTAAGACGGGTGGTGATATACCTGAAGGCTGTCCAGATCCTGAAGAAATGGCTATGGAGTTAGAGGATGCAATTTATAGTGAATTCAGAAATACAGACATGAAATATAAAAATCGCGTCCGCTCACGCGTAGCAAATTTGAAAGATCCTAAGAATCCAACACTACGTGGGAATTTTATGTGTGGTGCGGTCACTGCACAGAAGCTTGCTACAATGACACCGGAAGAAATGGCAAGTGACGAAATGAAAAAACTACGTGAGAAATTTGTCAAGGAAGCTATCAACGACGCCCAGCTTGCAACTGTACAAGGCACTAAAACTGACCTACTGAAGTGCGGCAAATGCAAGAAGAGAAACTGCACATACAATCAACTGCAAACCCGTTCGTCTGATGAACCTATGACTACGTTTGTCATGTGCAACGAGTGCGGTAATCGCTGGAAGTTTTGTTAAGGTTCCAAAATTTTTTAATTTAACATATAACTATATATATGTAGCACATATATATATATATATATATTAAAATTATTCAATTTTTTGAGCTAATTTAATATGATTTTAATACATATTATTTGAATTTTAAAATTGCATGCTAGTGTATGTTATACATTAACTAAAAAATGTTGTCTAAATGAGATATTATTTTTTTCTAAACTTAAATTAAAATTAAAATTAAAATTTAATTTTGATTTTTTCAATTTTTTAACTGTATTTAAAACAAAAACAAAATTGAAGGCTTGGAACAAAGAAAATGTTCCGGATAGTTTTCACGCCTAATATCTCAAGTATTGTCTGAAAATAAAATAAGAATTATATCTTTATGATACAAAAATATTTATCATTTATGCTAAAATGTAACTGATAATTTGTTCAATAAAGACTCTAAATAAATTAAGAAGAAATAGAATCTAATTATAAGATTAAACGTGTAATATTTTAGAAGTAATTAGAAGTGATGATAATCTATTAAAGTTAAGTTAGAATTTTGATAAATCATGATGATAACTCAACATTATATCTTTAACTGCTGAAGATTTCAAAAACTTACCACCAAGACTTTTAAATTTAATACGTTAATACGTTAGTGAAAAAATAAAAACTTGAACCTTCATTTGGTAATAATTTTTGCTGAATAAAGATTTTTGAACATTAAACAAAACTACACTCTATGTAAAAAGTATCTGAAATTTATAATATAAAAGACATATGTCAAAGATCTTGTCTCTAATAAGTAGATCCTGTTTTTTTTTCTTTTGCAGGTTTTGTAGGTTTTCATTAGATTTGGAAAGATTTGTAAAAATTGAACAAATGTATTTTCTATTAATCCTAATAATTTTCTATTAATAGCATCCGGAATTTATAATTTCAAACATGTGCGTAAAACTTATCGCCATAATTTTTTTCTGAAAGTTGTTAATACTGCAACCGGTTAACATGCGAGATTTCAGCATAATGTGTTATCCAGTGTATATGTTAACATATCTGATTTAGCAACACCATAATATCGGTAAGAGCTTTTAGTCCTTTCAACACCGAAGCATTATTACACCGAAGATTTTTACCGGGTTTACGCTAAATATCTCTTATGACGAATATTGGCTCCCGAGCGCAGCAACAAATGTCCTAACCCAATTGATGTTCGGTGTAATACACATGATAAATAAATACTTGTCACGTACAAACACAGCGTACCTAATGTTTGTCCACTGAACGTCATGTCGTCTATCTGTTCGTCTGCCCACCATATATCAATTCGAGACCTATCGACTTATAGTTCCAACCAATAAGGTTCCTAACCATTAACACAAACTAGATTTAGTCATTTCCCCCTTTCCTTAATGTAACTAACTCTCCCACACAAATTCTTCCTATTTCATTTGTATAAGTCTTGTAATCTTTACATATACTTGTGTTCTAGGGTGCTATGGGGCTACAATAATAGCAATCCAGCACAATACTCTGCTATCATGGCCCCGTCTTAATTTTTTCTGATTCCTTATGCCTAAAACTAACATTACTATTTTGCATAGGGCGTTTTGAAACGAATGCAACCATAAATGAAAATTAGCGGAAACACTATGAAATATGTATAGGTCAATAGGTCAATAGCTGGTATAGGTTGTTTGATATATATTATAAAATTATTATATATTATATATATATTATATATTATAAATATATTATATATTATAAAATTATTATATATTATAATTATAAAATTACTATATATAATAAAATTAATATATATTATAAAATTTAAGATCCACATATGAAATACCAGCTGGAATAAAGATCTGCAATTTTATATATTCTCAAGTGATGCATTCAGTTATGAAAAATATTTCAAGAAATGATTAGAACATATAGTTTGGCTCAATCTTTGGTTGCAAGTTGTAATAGATTTAATATAACTCTCTCGACTTTATGGAGCAGCACCACTTTCTCGGTTTCATTATCAAATATTTATAAGATCTTGATAGCATCTATGGTTTTGCAGAAAAGCTACGAATGGAACAATTTTAAAATTGTAAGTATTTTAGATTTCAAAATTACTGAATCCATAGATTTTATTTAAAATTTGAATTATCTTCTTTTATATGTATTTTACAGAAAAAAACCGGAGTGAAAATACGAAAAAGTGACAGGTCACAGGATGAACGTGACAGTGACAGGATGAAATTTTCGAGTATGCTCTACTAATTCCTAAAGGTGTTTAGTATTTCGTGGCTTTTTCTTTAATACTAAAATAAATTAGACAAGTATTTCCGAAAAGTATCTTTGATACTTATATTCTTTATATGTAATCTATTTTATATATTTTGTTATACCTATTTATATATAAGAAAAGTTTTGTTTATATATAATAAAAGTTATATTTATATTTAACAAAAATTTAATTTATACATAAGAAAAGTTATATTTATATAAGAAAAGTTATATTTATATACAACAAAAGTTATATTTATATATAAAAAAGTTTTATTTATATATAACAAAAGTTATTATATATAAGAAAACTTATATTTACATACAACAAAAGTAATTTTTATATAAAAAACGTTAAAAAAAGAAAGAAACAAGCTTATAATTTAATTAAATAAAAATTTATTGGACTACATAGTCTTCTTATAAATGAATATGTTAAAAGAAAACATTGTATTATATGAGAAACTAATACTAGTTATGGATTTTAATAGAAAACAAAAACTATCAGACTAACTGCTGGTAATCTTACCAAATAGAGCAAACTAAATTTAAGCACATGTAGTAGAACAAAGTAATTGAAAATGTTACAAATCAGGTCCGTAGTAGTTTCCAGACTGAACCCGTTTGCTTCCTACATTAAAAATAGCACAAACATCGTCATACATCTAACAGCTTTTACGACAATTAGTTCAGAAATAAAAATTTGAAATATATTAATAACTATTGTACGAATAGAGTTTGTTTTGCTTACCATTTTGGTTTTCTTTGAAAATGAAAATTTACAAAGAACCTTACTTTCAAATTTGTTACCTTTTTTGAAATAATTATATTTTGAATATTTATGTCTGTTAAATAAGGCCTAAGGAGAAGCCAGTTGAATACACAATTTTTTATATTAATAACTTTCACTTAATATGAGTTTTACGATTACAGTCTCTTTTTGCGCACCAGCCCTTATACCACCAGACGGCAATGACAATTTGTATTACTTGGATTTATTATTATGGATTCAATGATGTTGTAATCCACATAAGTATGGGCGAATTAAATTTAGATGTGCGAAAAGTTGACTTATTCGTAGGACCGGTCGCTACTGAGATCTATGTTCTATATTCAAAAGAATATATCAGATAACAGATTTGTTTTATAAATTGAATTTTATCAAATTTAGAAATTAAGATAAGATTAAATTATAAGATTAATGTAACCTTATTGTTATAAATATTATTTTTTTTTAATATGAAACATATTTATATTTAAAAAATTTGTATAATTTTATTAATTCCTGGATTTCCTTATAAACTTGAAATAAAATTAATATTTTTTACAGCAAATTTTTTTTATAATACTGTATAAATTATATAAATTTATAATGAATAAATAAACATATATGTATATATTTATACATATCTGTTTGGAATATATGTAATTTTGTACATACATAAGTAAGTAAAGTAAAAAAGATTAGTAAATAAGTAAAATAAAAAAGTATTAAAATTATAAAATTATATTTTTATATATAATTTTATATAAATATAATTTAAAAATTATATTTAAAATACTCACAAAAATCTTAGGACGAAGACTGCATAGTAGTATCAATACCGACCCCCGGTCTATACTCTATAACTACTCGTCTCTTCAGATTACTACGAGTCATTCATCCCTCCTAACGTGGATTCAAAAGTAAGTTACAGCAACAACATCAAAAGTACATAATCAGTTCTAATCTTTTTACTTCTCGATATAGTACTTAGTACTAAGTATTGATTATATATGTGCATATATAATCACTAGTATGAATTTAAAATATGTATTAAAAAATTTTAACACTAAAAACCGACAGTATTTTATTAATAAAATGGTTTAATTTTGTTTAAATTAGAAATTAAAATGTTTTTTTTTAATTTCATTTTTAATTTATATAGAAATGATAAAGTGGCTCACCAGCAGATCTAGTAAAAAAACTAATTCATATTTATAATGTATCTATATTTATATTCATATTCATATTCATATTTATATATATATTTATATTTATACTTATATTTATATTTATATTCATATATTCATATATTCATATATTCATATCTATATTTATATTTATATTTGTATTTATATTAATATTTATATTTATATTTATATTTATATTTATATTTATATTTATATTTATATTTATATTTATATTTATATTTATATTTATATTTATATTATATATTTATATTTATATTTATATTTATATTTATATTTATTTATATTTATGTTTAACATTTTATATTTATTTATATATATATATATTTATATTTAAATATGTATTTATGTTTCTATTTAGTTTTATGTATGTAATTATATTTGTATTAATACTTAGGTTATATTGCTATTCAGAGGGAGGATTTGCAGCTAATTTATATATAATTTTAAGTTTATGTTTTTGTATGTATTAATATTTATATATTTATTTTTAATTTAATTTATATATATATATATATATATATTTGAAATTAGATTTGTGTATATATAAATATAGAGCTTTTATATTTAAATTTATACTTTATTTGCAGTATATTATATTTTATACATAAATTCAAAAATGCATATATGTATATATGCAATACTAAGAACAGGAAGCTGTTATATAACCAAATAATTCGACTGCTATATGGATGTTTAGCGTTTAGCAAAGCCTTAAACGTTACTATTCGCCAGCTTGAAATTGCATAAACCCAGGCTCTTGTACTTTTCAAGGTATTATGGTGAGTTTATTTTGGAGATTATATCTTTTAGTATCCCATTAAAATTAATTATTACTATTACTGATTCTTTTATTCAAAATTACTTTACCTAAATTTCAAAATGTACATATAGTACATATAATATTAATTGGAAATTGTGAATAAATTTTTAATCCGTCTTATTGGAGTAGTAAGTTTTTTTCACATTGACCCGAGCTAGTTTTAATTACCCATCACTTTCAGTTTTAAAATTATTATCCGCCACTCTCATTTTCATAATAATTATTATCACAGAGTTTAATTGCCTCTTCCGTAAGGATATACATTCCCAGGAATCTATTCCGTGTGTGCATTCGTCAGCTCATTTTAACAAAACATGTGTGAATCTTCATCTTCTTCGCAGAATCTACAGTTTGCATCCGTCCGTTTTTGTTTATAGTGTCCTGTTAAGATTCCTGTGATGATTCTAAGTTTTTCTTTTGAAAAGTCCATACAATCTTAGTATCTCCTATTGTGATTTGGATTGTGCTAATTCTGGTTGACTATCCCAGTATTCCTTTTTGTTCTGGTTTTCTTTCATTTTTATAAGAGAGAGGAGGGTACTTCGACCTAGTCCACAGAAAAGTTCTGGCCCTATCCGCGGTGTAGCTACTATTATCCTGGCTAGTTTGTCTGCGTATTCGTTTCCGCGTACGTCAATATGTCTCGTTACCTATGGAATCGACACCTGATTGAATTCGCCGAGCAGGTTCAGATTTTGAAGGCACTCTTGCACCTGTCTTGAAGTGACCTGATACGAATTTAATGCGTTGATAGCAACTTGGCTGTTTGATAGTATTGTGACACTTTTTCTCTGGTATTTCCGTTCACTATTGAAGAAGTTTAAATTTTGGCCCAGCGCTTTCCAATGCTTCTCGTCCGGTCCGACTTTGTCTGCTTTGTCAATTTTTCATTTTCAAGATTTTTTTGAAATTTGGAGTCAAGAGATCACAGTTTAAGTACTTTTAGAGCTATTCGAACAGTGTAAACATTTTCGAGTATTGAAAGTAATTGATCGAAATTTATATTTAAGCTGCTTAAGCATAGTAATGTTCAAATACTTTTTAAGTAATATTGTGGACCTGTTTGAGCAGCAATAAATTAATTCATAAACTTTTTATAATCAATATAATTTTAAATTTTAAAGAAAAATAATGTTTAATGTTGTTTAATGCTTTCTTGATTTTTTTAGTCAGGAGAGAATAAAAAACAACGGATGCTTTACTGACATTTTTTTCGGATGGTGAAACTGCGACTGCAGTGGTAAATAGCAATAGGTCATAGATTTTGTAAAGTGATTCTAGAATGGGGATCCGACTACATATACAACCATTAAATTTAATTGATACATAATTATAAATAAATATTGTTTCTAAAAATGGTCCGAAAAAATATTATAAAAAAAAAATTAATAATAAAACTAAATGTAATAATAAATATATAATACATTTTTTAATCTGTAAACAATATGATTTACCCATCGTCTATGCTGGCTAGACTTCGGCAAGAATTTTTCTTACGTTCATACGTTTTCATTTATGATGTTTCCATTGCCTTTATTAAAGCAGGTCATTTAACTTAGGTCGCAAATGACGTTGGTTAACCGTACAAAGAGCTTTCATACTTTTTAACTTTGTTAAAAAATTAAAAAATTGAATGCAACACTTTAATATATATTCCCCAAAAGGGAAATGATTCAAATTTTACATATTTGACGCATGAAGCAAAATATAAATAAGTAAAATACAAACAAGAGATGAGAATTCTTAAAATGTTTTTTTCTTATATATAAATATTATACACAGAATTGTTTGCATTTTCCATAATCAATTGAATAATGTAATTTGTTAAAATTAAAGAGTAAAAAGAGCAAAAGCTCTTACAGAACTTTCACTTTTAGAACTTTTAACACATAAAAGCGCGTTTTCATCCATAAATCAGCTTATGTCAATGGAAACGACCAACTCTTGATTTAGTGAATATAAATTGATTTAGCTACAGTGGGAACATGGTATAACATACTACACTAATATTTTTTGAATGCAAAAGT